TCTTAGAAGGCAAGAGAGTACCTCACCCCCCTCTTTGTAAAAAGGGGATGTAATCAAGGCGATGACAATGTTCTGAAACCAGATAGTGACAATGGATGTGCTAAATGTCACTGAACTGTCCACTTCAAAAATGGTCAATTCATGTAATTTGAATTTCACCTCAATAAAAAAAATCCAACAACCCTACCCAAGTCAGTGTCCTCCTGGGCTGGGGGCTCCCAGGTTGCCTTGCATGCATCAAGACAAGCTGCTGGTCCTTCCATCCAGGTACTGGCCCCATGGCCTGAAGACTTCATGCGGCCCAGACGTGTTCAGCGGTAGCTCGTACCCTGGGGTGCAGTCATACATGATCGTCCTCATGACCACATGCTGCATCATCCCGCTCAGTGTCATCATGCTCTGCTACCTCCAAGTGTGGCTGGCCATCCGAGCTGTAAGCCCCCATGCCCTCCTGGTCTCACCCCTGGCTGGTAGGAACATGAAGGCCAGTGATATCCAGGCAGGAACAGAGGGTCACCCAGTCTGCTCTCCTGCCCCCAAACCAGATGTGAATCTGGCAATTTCTTTGGGACTACTGTTACAGCCCTGGTTCCCTTGTCCTTGTCCTTATAGAATGGGAAGGGCTAGCCCCCGATCCCTAGCCGAGGGGCCCAATAAGGGAGCACAGCTGCATTTCTCCTGTCCCAGGACAGTTCCAGGGGCAGCTAGATGCACGATTGAAACCTGTAATTCAGGAGTGTTTTTAAAAGGCTGCCACCAGAGGGCCCTTGTCCCCTTCACTGGGCTGTCGGCACAGGCTAAGGAGTAGATTCACAGGTGCCATCTGCCCCCCCCCCCAAGCCCACTCTTCACCCTCCTTCTCCCTGGGAACTAATCCTGTCTACAGCCCCGCTTCCCTGCGCCAGCTGGGCTACCCCTGGGGAGCCCTTGCAGGAAATCAGAGCAAGACAGGAGAGTGAAATTGGGTCCTGGGGTGCTGAGAGATCTGTGTTCCCCTTGTGGTCTACTGAACACCATAAATAAGTTGTTCCTTTATCAATTATCTAAGCTACAATTAGCTTGATCTGGACATGCCATCTGTTCTTGTTGGGATCCTGCTTGGCACAGGTGGTAGAAGGCCCTTTGGGGTGACACCTTTTCTATGTGAAGCTGCTTGTGCCCACAATCAGATTAGCATGTGCTCAGCTCTCTCTACAGTGGAGGCCACAGGCTCAAGATAAGCTCCCCTCATCTCATTACCTTCAGTCTGTGGTATTCCCCGTGTTCCTTCCTCACCCTGTCGGTGGTCCAGGATCAGAACCAATTTAGATGGCTCCCACAGGTTCTAGCCATGGTTTGGGCCACATTAGGTCTGAGATATGGAGCCCAGGCTCTAGAATGTGTTGCCTGCCCACACAGTTTCCCTTCATGCCCACTCAGTTACCTGCCATCAGTCCCTTCCCATAGCAGGCAGCGGCCAGTCCCTGTGCTTTCTCCTGCCCAGCCCCAGACCTGAGCACAGAAAGGAGCAGGCTGATAAGGGACCAGGTGAGGCTAGGAACAGCTCCCTTAGCTCCTGGCTGCCCAAACTCCTAACAGGAATCAAGATGAGCCAAGAGCTTTGAAGGCCCAAGCTCAGGGCCATCTCAGGCAGGTTTAGCTGTGTGCTAGCTCAAAGCATGCGCAGCTCTGGCACGAAACCACCCCAGGCCAGATGTGTACTCATCCAGATGGGAACTAGCTGCTGGCTAGCCAAGTTGCTACAGCAGGTAGGCTCATCTCCTTCTCCCCGCAAGTCCCCATCCTTGAGCTGCACATCACTCACTGCCTCCCAGATGTGCTGCCCAAGCAATAGGAACACAGAGTCCCTTCAGATTCAGAGCCCCGAGGGACTCTCCCACTCACTGTCCCTTGGTATGACTCTCTGTCTCCCCCAGGTGGCGAAGCAGCAAAAAGAATCCGAGTCCACCCAGAAGGCAGAGAAGGAGGTGACACGCATGGTGGTGGTGATGATCCTGGCATACTGCTTCTGCTGGGGTCCTTACACCTTCTTTGCATGTTTTGCTGCTGCCCACCCAGGCTACGCCTTCCACCCTCTGGTGGCCGCCCTGCCAGCATACTTTGCCAAAAGTGCCACTATCTACAACCCCATTATCTATGTTTTTATGAATCGGCAGGTAAGTCACACTGTCGGCAGAGGAAACTAGAAATAGAACCTGGAGGAGCCCCATTACAGCTTCCACCTGGTATCTTGTCTGGCCTCTGGGACAATGACCTGAGAAGGCTCAACATGTGACCCAACCCTAGGCAGCCCTCTCCCTCTGGATCCTTTCATGGTCTCTACCTGAGGGTGGGCCTTTCCTGCATTCGCCTGTGTACTGGCGAGCTCCTCCCTTCTGTTGGCCTCTGGACTAGCCTAGAGCTCAAACAACGGAGGACCGCCTGAACATGGCCACGGTACCCTGGGTGGGCACTTATTGGCATTACTGGCACAACTTTTTTCTCAGTCTTCATCTTTCCATCTTCAAACCCTAACTCTGACCAGGACCTAAAAGAGGCTTTTCCTGGCTTCCCCCACCACTGCCTTTCGTGGCTTTATAGATCAGTTCAGGGGGGACATTCTGTGGTCCTGCCCAAAGTCTCGCCAGATGGCAGCCAGCATGGGCTGGCATATTGGGCCTCCACAGCAAACTGCCCATGAGTCTTACACTTCTTGGTAAGTTACAGGTGACTATTGCGGCTCATCATATTCCAACTGCAATTTGCCTTCTTATTCTTCTTTGACATCCACTTCACATCCACTTTGTTAAGGTGTATCTGTGATGCGATTTGATGAGTGAGAAATGCTGTCCCCTCAGGGACATTCTATTTCATCAGACCCAACCTAATCCTTCCAGCTGGCTCTTCTCTGCTCCTCCATTTCACAGTTGCCCCATGGCTTTGCCTCTTCCTGCCTGGCTCTGACTGTCTGTTAGAGTTCCTTACGCGTGCATTCTTTCGGTGATGGTTAAATATTCAGTAGGACCAGTACCACAGTTGATTCCCCAGGATTCCATTCCTGCCCCCTCAATACTCAGAGTATAGTTCTATCCCTGACCCCTGTTTCCTGTCTTTCACATGGGTCTCTTTTTAGCTCTGCCTTTTGTTTGTGGAATCCTAGACTAACTTGCCAAGTCCTGTCTTTGCTTGAGTCTTTCTTTTCTCCTCCCCTCCCCCCCCCAGATGCCTGTGCTTCTGAACCTCTCCAGGCTTTCGAACATTTCTTTCACCCTTTTCATACTGTTACCCCTTCCTGTTCCATTCTGAGAGAACTTTCTGGAGTGGAACTCCATGAGGACCTCCCTGCTGCTGCCCCTAGGACACAGTCTGGCACAGAATAGTCACTCAGTAAGTAGGTAGACGTTAAGTGAATGTGTGGAATGAATTTCTCAGCCTCATCTGTCAGCTCTTCAGCTGAGTTGATTCTGTTGTTCAGCCCGTTTCTTCTATTATTGATTTCAGCAATTATGTTTTTTATTTTTGAGAGTTTTGGTTTTGGAGGGAGCTGGAGGTAGTCAAGAATAGGCCTGGGGTACATAGGAAATGCATCTGGTCTGCATTCTCAAAGCATTGCGGTTAGCTCAGTGATGATTTCAGGTATAATCTGAGAAATTCATGTGGCCCAGATCTCTTTAGGGGTCAAAGAGCAAAGAACAGGTTCCCTCCGGGTGCCAGAAGACTCTCTTGGCTAAAGAGATGCGATGGCAGCTAGACTGTTGTCTACCTAGTCCTCGCCTGTCCTCAAAATTGATGGAATAGAAACGAGATGATGATCATGTTCCTTTTTACTAAACTGTCTCTTCCCAGACATTCTGGAGACAGGTCACTCTATGCATGGGCCCCTTAGCTGGCATCATCTTTGGTCACTGTATGAGTTCTCTGGGGTGCAATAAGACATGACCACAGACTGGGTGACTTTGATATATTGTCTCCCAGTTCTAGAGGCCAAAAGTCTGAGATCATGGTGTCAGCAGGGTTGGTTCCTTCTAAGGGCTCTGGGGGAGAATCTGTTCCATACCCCCCTCCTAGCTTCTAGTAGGTACTTGCTGTTCTTTGGTTTGCAGATGAGTCACCCAGATCTCCGTCTTCACTTTCACATGGCCTTCTTTCCTCTGTGCCTGTGTGTCTGTGTCCAAATTCCCTTCTACTTATAAGAACACCAGTCATTGGATCAGGGCCCACTTACTCCGGCATGACCTCATGGTAACGTATATCTAAATCACCTCTGCAAAGGCTATTGCCAAATAAGGTTCCACTCACAGACTCCAAGTGTTAGGACTTGAACATCTCTTTTGGGACATGATATGTCCCACAATAGTTACCATCAGCTGCTAAACTAGATGACCAAATAGTCAGAAATAGACCATCCTTATGTGCAAAGAACAACATGAACCTTCCTCCATTCACTTTGTAGAGTTCTAAATAGTAGAAGAGAAGGTGTTAAGTGATTCAGATGACATTTAATGAATACCTTCCTCTGAATGCCCTAAACTTTACCTTTAGCATAGCACATTGACGCTTCCTGCTCTGCTGACTAACACTTTCTGTCCTGCTAGTTTCGAAACTGCATCTTGCAGCTCTTTGGGAAAAAAGTGGATGATAGCTCTGATCTCTCCAGCACCTCCAAAACAGAAGTCTCATCTGTGTCTTCGGTGTCACCTGCATGAGACTCTTCCAGCCTCAACAACAAAAGGATCTGCCTCCTACCAGAAAACATAACCCCTGTCCCACTCACTGGGGCTTTGGCCACCACCCCCACCATCCCTTCTTCTCCATCCCTGTGAAATACATGTAGTTTCTCGTTGCCAAAAACAACAAAGTCATGGCGAGGGAGGCACCGGAGCCTCTGAGTATTCAGTCACTGGGTCACAAGAGGGCATGAAGGATTTAGAGTGGAGAGAGAGCAACACTGCACTTCAGAGACTTTAATCTTTTCCAGGCCTCATGTCTGCTGATGGTATGGAAGGATGTGAGAAAGGGAACTGTGAATTGGGTAGGCATCCACAAACCTCTCACAGTACTGATAAAATCCAAAAGGGAGAACTGAGAAGCGGCTGTCTGAGGAGGGCTGGCTGGATGCGCTGACACCTGAAAGGGGGAAGGGCTAGCAAACCCAGGCTTTTTAAGGCCCATCTGATAGAGACTTGGAGTCCTTGGAATACAGGCTCCATCTGGAGGGGACTCAAGCCTGCCAGTCCATGGCAGGGATGGCATGCCACTTCTGCCAGGCCAGGGCACCAAGTCCAATCAGCATGAGCATGGTGCATATGCGCAGGCGTGAATTTAACAGCAGAAAGGGGCAGGTGCACACAGTAAAGATGAAGACCAAGAAGGTGGTGGCCAGTGTGAGGAACAGGTTCAGAAATCGAAACATAAACTTCCGGGGACAGTTCCTAAAGTTCTCTGTCATCTCCAGTTGAGTCTCTTGCTGTAGAGTTTCAAGCTTGGCTATACGACTCTTGAAAGTCTCCATGACCTCCTGCAGGTGACAAAAACACATGCCCTCACAAGAGGTCCAAAGGGAAGTGCGGCTGTTTACTTGAGTTCCTAAGGGGAGTACACCAGGAGTTGGTGAACTGAAGATTTAGAGGGAAGTCGAGAACCTAGAGCACACACGTGCTAAGGGCCCCATTTGGGAGGGTCCATGTTTACCAGTAACAGTGAAGGTCTCATTTGACTGGGCCCTCACCCAATGTGATCTGAGACAGGGAGCCTGGCTGTGAGAGAGCTGACCAAGGACAAGTGTAAGGTGTGGAAGAGAATAATGCTGTCTATCACAGGAGAGGAAAATCCTTTACCCACGTTTGTGATCCCAGGGTAAAAAGCAGGGGTTCCCAGCTGGTGTTCCCTGCACCATCAGCACTCCTGCAGGTGGTTGTGGTGTATGCTCAGGTATGAGAACTGCAGTGCCCAAGTTCCCAGATCAGCTAAGGGGTCGGGGGAGGGAGGCATGAGTATAAAGACTGGACACTGCTAGCTCTAAATAAAATCTGTGAGTTGCCATTAAACCCTCAACGGGGGTTCAACGTAAAGACCAGTCTCTTTCCTTGGTTTGGAGGTTATAAAAACAGATTCACTCATCCTTTGCCTTCCTCATCCCTATATCCTTCCTTCTCCCTGGCCCTTTCTCAAAAAGCTCCCCCATGAGGAACTCACCCATACTTCCTTGGCTCTCTCATAGGAAAGATAGGCCATTTGTTCTTCAGCATAGGCCAGATTCTGTTTGAGACGGTGAATCTCATCCAGGTACCCTTGCAAGTGGTTATTTACCAGTTCTTCCATCAACGCTTGTCTTGGGAGCAAAAGAGAAAGTAATACTCCCTCAGTACTCCACCCGAAGCTCGTGCTGGCAATAAGTGGTCCTATATCAAGACTAGACTTGGGTTCAGGGTCCACCTTTCTCCTCTCGTCCCAGCTCCAGTCAAACCCAGCCTACTCCTCCAGGTCTGCACCTCAGCCGCATCCACACTGAGAGTCATGTATCTCCTATATATCATTCCACTTTTGCAACAGCTTTAGCAAAATAGAGGTAGACTAGAAGTTGTAGAAATCAAAATCTAAATTGCCCTCACATGCTATTAAATTCCATATGTATCCCCAGCAACAGTGTTTGGCCCGCAGTAGTTATCTCATACAATTCTGTGGATTATAAAGATGGAGCAGTCACAAGAAACCACATAGTGTATGACTTCATTTGTATGAAATGCCCAAAAGAGACGAATCAGAAAGACGGAAACAGAACAGTGGTTGCCAGGGGCTGGGAAAGGGAAGGGTGGGAGTGACTGCTACTGGGGATGGGGTTTCTTTTTGGAGTGATGACAATGTTAGGGTCCGCAATGAGGTAGTAGTGATGAGTGCGCAACTCTGTGAATATACTAAAAACTATTGAATGGTACTCTTTAAATTGATGAATTTTATGGTATGTGAATTATATCTCAATAAAACTATTATTAAAACAAAAAAAGAATATAGGATTGTGGTAATGGTTGCACAACTCAGTAAATTTACTGAACATCATTAAGATGTACAATTAAAACAGTGCAGTTTTATGGCATGAAAACTACATCTCAATGGAGCTGTTAAAAAACACAAACAAAGCATCACTACCTGTGGTTTATGGCTACACATGTAAAGTTGTGAAAGTTTAAAAACATGCATGAAAAAGATAAGTGCCAAAGAGGATAGTCAGGTGGCAAGAAGGGGTATGGGACCAGGGAAAAGGGTAATGAGAGCAATTCAACTAAATTGTTTAAAGTTTTGTTTCTTTCTTTTTTTAATTTTAATTGATTTTTAGAGAGAGGAATGGAGGTAGAAAGAGAGAGATTTGTTGTTCCATTTATTTATTCACTGGTTGATTGTTTTTTAAGCATATTCTATTGATTATGCTATTACAGTTGTCCCAGTTTCTCCACCTTTGACCCCCTCTGCCTGATTCCTCCCTTCCTTACAGCAATTTCTGCCCCTCCAATTAGTTCACGTCCATGGGCCACAGCTGTAAGTTCTTTGGCTTCTCCATTGCCTATACTGTTCTTAACACCCCCCTGTCTATTCTGTACCTACCCAATTATGCTTCTAAATCCCTGTACCTTTTCTCCCATTCTCTCCTTCCCCCTCCCAGCTAGCTGATAACCCACCAAATGGTCTCCATGTCTATGATTCTATTCCTGTTCTAGTTGTTTGCTTAGTTTGTTTTTGTTTTTTAGATTAAAAAATATTAATGCATGGTTGCCTCTCATGTGTCCCCCACTGGGAACTGACCTGCAATCCAGGCATGTGCCCTGACTGGGAATCGAACCGTGATTTTTTGGTTCGCAGGCCCGAGCTCAATCCACTGAGCTACGCCAGCCAGGGCTAAGTTTTTAATTTCTTGCTCTACCTATTCTCCTTCTGGCACTCCTATGATTCAGATGTTGGCCCTTTTGGAGATGTCCCAGAGCCTTCTTAAACTCTCATTTTTTTGAATTCTTGTTTCTTCATTTTGTTCTGGTTGAATGTTTATTTCTTCCTTATGTTCCAAATCATTGATTTGAATACAGGCTTCCTTCCCTTCACTGTTGGTTTCCTGTGGATTATTCTTTATTTCCCTTAGTAGAGCCTTCATTTCTTCCCTTATGCTTTTGCTATATTCAGTGAGATCTTTGAGCATCCTGACCACCAGTGTTTTGAACTCTGCATCTGATAGGTTGGCTATCTCTGCATCACTTAGTTCTTTTTCTGGGGTTCTTCTCTGTTCCTTCATTTGGGCCATATTTCTTTGTGTCCAGATTTTGGCAGCCTCCCCGTATCTGTGTACCAGGTAGAGCCACTTTGATTCTGTTTTAGAGCACCTGTAAATTGTGTGGGGGCAGAGCCTTGGGTATTTGCCAGGGTGGGGCAACCATGGCTCCGTGGGTAGGGAGGGATCAAAGAAGGGACAATGCCACTGCTGGCTGACTTCTGGGGGCTTGTCTGGTCTGTGCTGTATTGCCAGTCACTTCACCCACTTCCCTTATGTGACTGGCGCCCTTTTAGCTGCCGTCCTGGTTGTGGTTCCCAGGGTGGGTGAGTTTGCACAGGTTCCAGGCTCTCCTGAGAAACTGGCAGTTTCTTCTGCCACCCCAACCCCCACCAGGTTCACTGCCAGAAGTCATGAGGCTTTCTTTTCCCAGCTCTAGAGCCCTGGGCTGCACAGTCCGGCCTGGGGCTGGGCTTGCTGGCTCACAAAATGTCTCCCTGATTTTTATCCACCACAAGTGAATGTGGGGCTGCCCATTCTGCTGGCTCGCTGCCTTTCCACCTCTCTGCCCCTGGCTCACCACTGCCACAGGGAGCCCTCTCTGCCCAACACCCAGTCTCAGCCCTCCTACCTGTCTGGATGAATATAGCTTCTTTAAGTCCTTGGCTGTGGGACTTCTGTACATTTCTGGGTGTTGTTCTTTCTGGGTGATCCTCTGACAGTTCTGGGTGCTTTTCATTTTTAATTTAGTTGTGTTCCTTCTTATGGTTGTGCAGTGAGGCGAGGTGTGTCTACCCACACCTCCATCTTGACCAGAACCTCTCATTGGTTGATTCTTGTATGTGCTCTGTCCCAGGAACAAACCCACAACCTTGGCATATAGGGACAACATTCTAACCAACTCAGCTACCTGGCCAGGGCTGAAGTTTTCTTTTTCTTTCTTTCTTTCTTTTCTTTCTTTCTTTCTTTCTTTCTTTCTTTCTTTCTTTCTTTCTTTCTTTCTTTCTTTCTTCCTTTCTTCCTTCCTTCCTTCCTTCCTTCCTTCCTTCCTTCCTTCCTTCCTTCCTTCCTTCCTTTCCTTTCTTTCTTTCTCTCTTCCTTCCTTCCTTCCTTTATCTTTCTTTCTCCCCCTCCAACTCCTGTGTTTTATTTCTTTTCTTTTTTTAAAGATTTTATTCATTTATCTTTACAGGGAAGAAAAGGAGAGAGGGAGAGAAATATCTATGTATGGTTGCCTCTCATGTGTCCCCCACTGGGAACTGGCCTACAACCCAGGCATGTGCCCTGACTGGGAATTAAACTACGATCCTTTAGTTTGCAGGCCTGCACTCAATCCACTGAGCTACACCAGCCAGGGCTCTGAAGTTTTATTTCTTAAAAAAATAAGACTTGAAACAAAAATGGTAAATATGAAGATTTGAGAAAGTTGGGAAGTACGGGGTAGGTGTACAATGTTGATCATGTTATTCTCTACATTTCCCCTAAGTTTGAAATGTTTCATAACTTAAAACATCTTTGAGGTTCCTCATTTGGACAACAGGAAGATAGGCCAGAAAGACAGATGTCAGGAGGCTTCTAGCACTTTGATTTAGGGAAGAGCTGAGGAAGGCTTGACCCAAGCCAGAGGCACTGACACTGAAGAAGAGAAAAGGTACCGGAGAGCACTGCAGACACAGAATGGCTGGGGCCTGGCGCCCTGTGGAGAGCAGGGCAATGAAAGGACCAGGCTCATGGCTGTGACTCGAACATGCAAAAGAGCATAACGAACGGTGCTGTCATAGAGACAGGGAATGTGAGGCCAAGAGGTATTTGGTCCTGCCTTGAGAACTTGACTGACACCCACATGGAGACGTTCCCCTGGCATCTAATAAGCTGAACACTCATTTCTTGTAAGCCAATTCATCAGGAGACAATTCATAACAGTGTTGTAAGGGACATTCCATTAGTTTCTACCCTGCTACCTGCTGAGAAGAGAGTGGGCTGACAACACGGCTGAGGTTACTGCCCACAAAGAGGGGAAAGGCAGGGTGTCCACCCTAAAAAGAGATTCCCCGAGATTATCTTCCCATTACCAGGAAAGATCCAGTCACAAGAACATTCAAGATAGTAACTGTGTTTGACCATATTTTCATAAATATATTCTTCATGAACAGAAGTCAGTGAATAGCTTCTTCTATTAATGTATTTATAAAACTTTATGAATACACTCTTAAATGTATTCTTGAATAAATTGTTGAATAAAAAGATGTTAATTCATAAGGACGTTCTCTCAGTCTCCCCATCCCTTGCCCCCAGCCTCCTTATCCTCTGGCAGCAGTGTCCTGGCCAGGACACAGCTGACTCTCTTCCCTGTCCCTCTTTTAGTCAAGGATCCCTCTCTGTCTAGCTCCTACAATCACAGAGACAAATGTACCACTCTGAGAAATGCTCTTGCAAAGACAAATGCTCTTGCTTGACAGTGATGACCAGTCAACCAAAATGCCCCCTAAATCTAATAAGATTTATTAGATTGTCCCCTAATTCTTTATTAAGAATGCCCCCTTCCAAAGCTAATAAGGCCACCCTCTCCAATATACAAATTGTCCTAAACTATATTGTGGTTGCAAAAGATTATACTCCTGACTATACCTGAGGATCAGCTTTTTGGCAAATTGAGCTAGAACCTAGTGGCCTGCAACTTGGGTGAGAAATCTGAGGTAGAGAAACAGATGTGGGGGATCAGGCAGTAAGGGTAGGGTTGGGGAATGCAGCAGGGACGGAGGAGCTCCTCCTGAGCATGTGTGGGCCCTAAATGCAATCATGCATATTGTTATAAGAAAGAGACAGAGGGAGCTCTTACACACAGTGAAGAAAGCCATGTGAAGACAGAACAGAGAGAGATATGAAGATGCTCACCTTGAAGACTACAGTGATGCGGCCACAGGCAAAGGAGTCTGGTAGCCACCCGAAACTGGAAGAGGCCAGGAATAGATTCTGCCTTAGAGCCTCCAGACGGAGCATGGTTGTGGTGACACAGTGACTTCAGCCCAGTAAAGCTGATTTCAGACTTCTGATCTCCATAACTGTGACAATAAATACTTTGTTGTTTGAAGCCACCGAGTTTGGAGTAATTTGTTATGACAACTGTAGGAAACTCCTCCAGCCCTGGCTGGTGTGGCTCAGTGGACTGAATACCGGCCTGAGAACTAAAAGGCCACCAGTTCAATTCCCAGTCTGGGCACATGCCTAGGTTGCAGGCCAGGTCCCCAGCTGGGGGCATGTGAGAGGCAACCAAATGATGTATCTCTCACACATAAACATTCTGTAGAAATTCCTCCAGGGTGCTCCTGGCATCTCGTGGGTAGAGACCAGGGATGCTGATCAACATCCTACAATACACAGGACAACATCCACAACACAGAATCATCTGGTCCAAAATGTCAATAGCATTGAGGTTGCACAAACCTGGGCTAGGACGACACAATTTGGAATTTAGGGTCCACCGAGTTGTGGCTGAATTTAAGAGGCTGAAACTTCAAAGACTAATGATACCAATTGTTGGCCAGAATGTGGGGCACCTGGAATGCTCAACATTCCTGATGAGAATATAAAATAATACAACCATGTTGAAAAACAGTTTGGCAGTTTCTTTAAAAGTTCAACATACAGCCTGGATGGTGTAGCTCAGTGGATTGAGCATGGGCTGTAAACCAAAGGGTTGCCAGTTTGATTCTCAGTCCGGGCACATGCCTGGGTTGCAGGCCGGGTCCCCAGTAGGGGGTGTGCAAAAGGCAAATACGCATTGATGTTTCTCTCCCTCCCTTCCCCTCTCTCTAAAAATAAATAAATAAAATCTTTTTTTAATTTTTAAAAAGATTTTATTTATTTATCTTTAGAGGGGAAGGGGAGGAGAGAGGGAGAGAAATATCAATGTATGGTTGCCTCTCGTGCATCCCCTGCTGGGAACTGGCCTGCAGCCTGTCAGGGGACCCATTTGTTTTGGTCTGGCAAGTGTGACTCAGCTCTGTATGGAAAACCTACAGAAGCGAAGTGGTGGGCAGGAGCCAGACCTTCAAACCGAGTTTTCCTGTGGGAATCAGGCCTAGAAAATGCATACAGAGTGTTATGGCTTGCTCTTGCTGAAACTCCATCACCCTGGTCTAAAACAACAAATGTGTATTGTCTATCTTCAAGGTAATATCCAAAGCCTGTGTGAGTTCTCCCAAAGACAGAGCTAATCAGCTCATCACCATTCCCCTCTGCATGTCATTTTCACTTTCTTGATTGTACCTAAAATGTAGACAATAATATTCTATGTAATAGATACTAAATCTTTCTCTGATGTAAGACCCCAAGAAAATAATAAAAGCCTGTCTAGGCAAGGGTGGAGGCGCTCCCCTCTTGAGGGAGTGGCCGAGGCGTCCATAGGCACTCTCCCCTTGAGAGAATAGTTGTGCCGTTCCCTTTTTCTCCACAGGATTGTTGTCGCCTGTGCATTTTATTCTCATCACCAGCCACAACAGGCGGACTCTGCTGGACGGGGTCTGCCACAGCAACCCAGGCATGTGCCCTGACTGGGAATCGAACTGCAGTTGTTTGGTTCGCAGGCCCGCACTCAATCCACTGAGCTACACTGGCCAGGGCTAAATAAAATCTTTTTAAAAAAAAATTCAACATACAGCCCTAGCAAGTATGACTCAGTTGGTTGGAGCATCGTCCCATAACCAAAAGTTGCTAGGTATGTTCATAACCAAAAGTTATGGGAGCATCGTCCCATACCTAGCATATACCCAGGTTGTGGGTTCTATCTGGGCACATGTGGGAGGTAACCAATCAATGCTTCCCTCTCACATCGATGTTTCAACATACATCTACTCTATTATTCCACATATAAAACTGTACAGGGTGGGGAAACAGTTGTGATTGTGCAAAACAGAGTTCGTTCTTGTATTATTTATTAATGTATTATTTTCCAGAAAAACAACTGTAAATCTACTGTTGCCCCATCCTGTATGTTCACAAAAAGACTTGTACCGGAATGTTCATAGCAGCTTTATTCGTAACAGCCCCGACTGGCAGCAGATGAATGGGTAAACAACGTCTGGTGCATCCATACAATAGAATACTGATGAGCAAGAGTGAACTGCTCCTTCACGCAACATAGATGAATCTCAAAATTATTACACTGGGTTAAAGATGCCAGACACAAAAATGGCATACTGTATGATTCCATTTACATGAAATGTCAGAATATACAAATGCACAGAAACACAAAGCAGATTGGTGGTTACCAGGGAGGGAGGCAGGGATGGGGTCTCTCTCGAGTGATACAAATGTTCTAGAACTAGATAGAGATGATGATTTCACAACATTGCGAATGTACTAAGTGTCACTGAATCATACATTTTAAGGCAGATAATTTTATGTCTTGTGAATTTCATCTCAATTAAAAAATAAAAAAGAAAGCCCTTTTGAACACAAACAGATTTACCTGTGAGGAGTGTCATAGGACTTTTCAGTTTGAAAGTTCAGTTCGGGATGCACCAGAGAAGACATGACAATTGCAGAGCCCTGGCTGGTGAGTTCACAGGTGTGGCGACTGGATGACACTTCATTGAGTTGAATACATGTATCATGTACCCTTTTCCATGTCTGCATATAGCTCACATAAAGGTTTCTTAAAGGATTTGAAGGATCATTTAATACAGATATATTATGTGCAATGAATCCTTGTGCCCCCCTCACCTAACTTAGGAAGCCACACAGCCAGGCCAGGACATGCGGACATGCTCTCAGGTCTGTACTTCCTAGCTGTGTGGCCTGCTTGTGCCTGAGATTGTCTCCCCATCTATAAAGTGGGTGTCTGAACACTACACGTGAACAATGCTATGGACCCCTTGTAGTCACCGTTATTACGTAAAGTCATCACCAGCCCATTCTCCATTTCTCTTGGTAAATCTGAGTCCTACAGACCTACTTTTTTGCTTCTAATGTATAATAATCAATGTAAGGTAACTATTGTAGCCAACGACCAGAAAATCTCAGTGGCTGGACACAATTAAAGTTTACTTCACACTCATGGCACAGTCTAGTGGTGGGCGGTTGGCTGGCTCAGCAGTGCAAGCTTGTGGAATTCTCGGAGTCTGGGAGGAGGTAGGTTACCCTGCTCCCTTGCACAGCTGGCAGATTCTGATTTGCTTAAGGGGTTAAAAGTGTACCTGAGTATAACAGTCTCAGTGGCCTGGGCAGTATGAAGATATATATATATAACTGCCACCAAACTGTGGTCTTGCTTTATATAAATCCAACCTTGGAAATGTTATTTTGACAAAGAGGTCTTTAAGAGTGCCAAGATTGCCCTGGCCAGGTGGCTTAATTGGTTGGAGCTTTGGCCCGAATACCAAAAAAAAAAAAAAAGCTGCGGGTTTAATCCCCGGTCAGGGCACATACCTAGGTTGTAAGTTCAATACCCAGTCATAATGCATACCAGAGGCAACCCATGGATGTTTCTCTCACACCCATGTTTCTCTCTCTGTCTCTTCCTCCCTTTATAAACTCAATAAACATCCTTGGGTGAGGCTTTTTTTAAAAAAAAAAAGAGTGCCAAGATTTTAGGTTGTGTTGCCATGTCCTGTGCAAACTCCCTCCCCGAAACAAACCTGTAATTCTGATTGGTTATCTTACTGGATAATAGGTTGCCCCATAAAACTTTAATGGCCCTTTATAGAATTGTCAAGCAGTGCAAACGCAGGTAAGATTTCCCCATGAAAACAGACTCAATGGACTGCAGAGTTCTTGCTTTCATGAAAATGCTGAGAATCTTGGCTCATCTAAGTGAATCCCTCCCTCCCTTCTCCCCCACTTATTTAACAAATATTTATTGATTATCTACAAAGGGCAGGCAGTTTTAGGACTGACAAATATAGAAATGGACAAGATAAAGCCCCCTTTTCATTTTAGTGGATAAAAAGGATTAGAGTTAATGAAGACTGCAGGGATCCAATGAAGGAGTGTGGCACCTTTGAGGGCCAGTGGGACCCTGAGAGGTAATGGAATAGGAATGGAGAAAATCCTTTGAGTTTGCCTTTTGGGGAGGGTGGACCTCATCTTGTCTTGTATGAAAATAAAATAAACCCACCACACAGTGGGGAGAAAGCATCCCCCAGAAGGCAGTCATTCTCAGAATAAATATCCCATAAGTGACTGCTGTGCTCCAGCTCAGCCATGAGCACCAGTGAAGGGATCAGGGCTGGCAAGGGGAGTCCACTCCTGCCCACACACCAACCCTTGCAGCAGACAGGATAGCAAAACACCTCCCTAACTGATGATGGGTGTCCACTGGGCTCACCGCCACCTCAGCTGTCTCCTGCCATTCCAGTTCGAGCCACAGCTGCAGGACCACATGGTGGGGCTGGAGCTAGGGCCTCATTTGCCAGCAGAGGGCCAGGCTGGTGCGCAACCGCACACGGGAGATGAGCCTTCTTCACTGCAAGGTGTGTAGGAGGCAGTCGCGGAGAGGAATGCTGAGCTGCTCCTTACCCCCTCCCTGGCTCCCCTTCACCCTCCTACAAACAGTCCTGAGGACTGTCCCCAGAGCCAAGGCAGCAGAATGGGTTCCACCTCACCTGCATTTCTCCTCCTTAAGGGACTCCAGCGACACCTGCAGGTCTGTCAGATAGTTCTCCTTTAGGCTCTGATAGGATACCTGGAGGCTAAGGTGGAACTTCTCGACTTTTTTCAGCTCTTTCTTCACTTTCCGCAATAGCAAGTTTCGCTTTCTCTCTGAGGACTTCCCCTGCTGTAAGGCTGGGAAGTGACTCGCCAGAGGGAAGTGTCTGTTGGACGGGTTGGTGGACAAGCAGTCTTTCCTACCTGGCTTGGCGGGCTCCAGAAAAGGGGCCTTCTCACTAGGCTGCTGACAGTTGTCCAGGCTGCTTCCCACCTTCGGCACTGAGCCTTTGTGCCGCCAGCCCTCCTCCAGCTCCTGTAGCTGCTGGTGACATTGGCAGAGCCTTCGCTCGATCTGGGCGATGGCGGCAGAGGCACACTGGTTCACCTTCTTGAAGGCCTGCCGGATGTGAGGAACCTGATGCCGGTGTGTTTTGGACACCAGCTTGAGATAGCCCACTGTATTCTTGTCCCGACTGGCCTTCTCCATTCTCAGCTGCTCTAAGAGGTGGTGGATGCGGTGCTTAATACTACCCTGTGAGTTCTGGGCCATCTCCCTGTCCGAGAGGCTGGAGTGGCCACTGCGGCCCTCCTCACTAGATGACAGGGACCTCTATGAGGGAATATTGGAGGAGAGGGCTGCAGCTGGACTCTTGGTATATTCTGCCTGCATTGGGAGACAAATGAAAAATGAGTACTTTTCTATAAGCTGCAAATAGCAGAACTGAACACATTATTGGCTCGCTCTATGAAAATACTTACATGTATGCACAGACACTTATATATGCAAGAGTTGTGCATTCAAGATGGGCCCAACACAGAACAGAGAAGTCTAGTTCATCTTCCAGACCCCTCCCTCCTCCTTTCCAGCACCTGACTTCTTGCTCTATGGGTGTGCCTCACTATGGCCCCCAGATGGCTAGAATCTCCCTTCCATTCCTACCCCTTCTGTTCCTGGGCTTCCTCTCTTCCAAGAATTAGCAGCTGTGCATCTCAGTTGATTAAAAACTGTTCTTGTAAAGTATGGAATAAACTCATCCCCATTGAGCCCTAGACCTTGCTGGATTGCTACTGCCAAGCCGACTGAAGAAATAAGCAGAGAGTTTTACAACCTAACAGGTGTGTTCCTTTATCCAATCGCTCATTCAACACATTGTCTGATTCCCTACCATGGGGTACAGAAGCCAGACACGTTCACTGCTCTCAAAGATCTCATAGTCCAGGGAGAAAAATTATACTGTGACACAAACGAATGAGTCTCCCACAGAGTGAAGCATAACAGAAAGAACTCCACCTTCAAGACAAAACCCAGTTCAAATCCTGACTTTACCACTCTACCTTGGGCAAGTTAAATGGCTCAGAGGGTCAGTTTTCTCATGTCTAAAGATGGCCATAGCTATATAGCTGGAACATAGTGGGCCAGGGAAGAGTGAATGATAATGACCTAGGAGAGGTCAATGGGGTCTGAACAGGTGGAGCCTCTGCCCTGTTTCTACTTTGTAAACATAAGTGCCTTCATGACTGTTTTTGATCTGAAAGTGCTCTCTCCATGGCAAGTCGAGAGTGATGAAATTGCAATAGATAGCTAAGTTCCATGTATTTATTGTATGCAAATTAAACCTCCATTTAAAAAAAAACACCATGTGATACCACTATGCACCTGGTAAATTGGCAGAACTTAGACTAACAATAATAAATGTTGGCCAAGATATGGAACAACAGGAACTCTCAATCACTCCTGGTGGGAGAACAACTGGTATGAGCACTTTGGAAAAGCATCTGTTACTATTGTAAAGTTGAAGGCATGCATACTGAATGGCCCAGCAGCTGCATTGCTAGGTATGTCCTTGGGAGAGAGAAACACTAATGTTCCCAATAACCAACTGCTAGAAACGATCCACATGCCCATTCATAGGAGAATGTGTAAATGAGCTATATATAATGTATTCAACAATATACTACTATATAACAATGAAAATGAACTACAACCTTGAAAACATGAATGAACAAGAATAATGTTCAGTGAAAGAGGCCAAACATAAAAGAATCAATATAATATATGGTTCCATTCACATAAAGATCAAGATCAGGCAAAACAAAATGATGTTGTTTAGGCAAGTATACATAGGCAGTAAAGGCTATAAAGAAAAGCATAAACGTCAGGATTGTGGTCCCCACTAGGATGGAAGAAGGAGATGGGGATTTGGAGAGACATGTGGAGGCCAGGGTGCTTTACCTGAGTGCTAGTTAAATATATGTTCACATTATCATTATTTCCTAAACTGTACATTGATGTTTTCTGTGCCTTTATAGACATATGTCAGATCCCATCATTTTTTTAAGTTTTAAAATGTTCAATTGATGGATTTAACAGAAGATTAGAAATGGCTGGAGAGGAAAATTAGTAAATTGTAAAACAGCCAGAGAAAGCACAGAAACACAGAAGCACAAAGAAATAGAAAATTTCCCCTGGCTGGTGTAGCTCAGTGGATTGAGCGCGGGCCTGCGAACCAGACAATCGCGGTTCAATGCCCAGTCAGGGCACATGCCTGGGTTGCAGGCCTGTTCCCTGCAGGCCAGTTCCCAGCAGGGGACACACAAAAGGCAACCATACATTGATGTTTCTCTCCCTCTCTCCTTCCCTTCCCCTCTAAAGATAAATAAATAAAATCTTAAAAAAAGAAAACTGAAAAATATAAGACATAGAAGACAGAGTTAGGAAGTCTAACAAAAATCTGTTATCCTACAGGGAGAAGACAGAGCGAAGCAGTGGCAAGATTTTAAGAGACAGTCACTAAGAACTTCCCAGAACTGATAAAGGACACAAATCAACAAATTTAAGAAGCCCAATAAATCCAGGAAGAACAGAAATAGATCTACCTAGACATAAGATCTTAAAATCAGCCATATTAAAAAAGCTGGTACCTTTAAAATCATGACTTTTAGACTGAGAGCTGAATTCTCAATGGCATCAATGAAATCCGGAAGAGTTGAATAATATCATTAATATGCTGAGAGAATAACTATCAGAGAGAAAAAATAGGTCCCATTAAAAGAAACAGAAGTCTGAATATCTTCAAACTTTTTAACAAAAGTACTAGGAACTAGAAAACAATGAACTAATGCCTTTTAAATTGGGGGGGAAAACGACTCTCCAACCTAGAATTCTACGTCCAAACTGTCTATTGTAAGGTTAGACTAAAGACATTCTGCAACATGAAAGTACTCGTGTATTTACCTCCTCCGCATTCTTTCTCTGGAAGCTACCCGAGAAGGTGATTCACCAAAAACACAGAAAAACCTCAGAAATAGGTAGAGATGGAATCTATGAAACAGGAGCCCCAAGCCAAAAAAGAGGCAAATGCAATCTCCAGGATAATAGCTTGGAAGCCTAGGCTGGCAGCTGAGCTGTGGGCCTGGAGGGCAAGTCAAAAGGCTCCAAGAGAGAGCACTCCAAGGAAATGAAATTAATGAAATGCTGGACATCTTTGACCAGCTAGAGAGGACATATAGACAGTTGGCAGGAGTGCTGACCTTTATAGCAGAGAACAAGCAACAAAGGGATTGAGGGAGACAAGCATTAACTCTAAGAAAAACAAAACATTGGGAGAGAATGGAAACATCAGGGTAATGACTCAGCTGTGACCAGTGTTTTCATGGACTTGATAACATGAACACCAAGGAATGATCTAACCCAAATCATTGTATATCATACTGGAAGGATAGGGGGCAGGGAATGAAAGAGCTACATCATTGTCCTTTATAGTAAAAAGTTATTTGATAATTTCATACATATATTTCTTTATATATATGTATAAAGAAATAGCACTCTAAACATTTTTTTTAAGAACTGGAGGTAAATGCCAAAAGAAACAGCTAAAAAGGTAGAAAGTGGCTGATTCTAGAGAGTGGATGATTGGATGGGTGCAAGCCAGGGATTGATCTTTTTTTTTTGGTCATAAACCCCATAGAGCCATTTACTCATTGGACCAGGGGTTGGCAAACTGTGGCCTGGTTTTATACAAGTGTGAGCTAAGAATGGTTCTTACATTTTTAAATGGTTGAAAAAAATTTAAAAAGAGTAGTTTTTGACGTGTGAAAATTACATGAGATTCAAATTTAAATGTCCATATAAACAAAGTATGGTTTGCATACAGCCACTCTTGTTCATTTACAAATTGTCTACGGTTACATTTGTGCCACCCCAATGACAGACTTTAGTAGCCACAACAGAGACCCTGTGGCCTCAAATATTTACTATCTGGGCCTTTATAGAAAAAGTTTTCTGACCCCTGCTTTAAACTATGTTCATATATACCCTTGATAAATGAAAACACTACATAATTATTTTAAAGGAAATAGAAAACAGGGAAAATTAAAGTTTGCCAATAACTAGTTCTATTGGGAAATTGTATAGATATCACATGAAACTCAAAATTGAGAGAAAAATGTTGGTGAAAAAATTAAAGGTAACCACTAGGAAAAGCCAGGTGCATCACATCCAAATAATCAAAGAGAGACATAAAATGGAACTTGATTAATCCAAAAAAGGAAGGAAAGGAGGAAGAAAAAGAAACAAAATATTAGGTTAAACAGAAAATATAAAATAGAATGTTAATAAGATGTGATTATCAGTGGCTATATACTGTATTCTTGAGGGGAAGACTCAATACTGTAAATGTCAGCCCTCTACATATTAACCTATAAATTTAATAAAATCCCAATAAAAAATCCCATGGGAATGTCTTATGAATCTCAAAATACCTTCTTTTAAGATTTATTTGGAAAAATACCAAAAAAAAGCTAAAAATTTTCTGAAATAATAAATATGGTCTTAAGACAATTGGCTATTTTAAAAAATTAAGTTAGTGTTTCCTGTTATTTATATGCAACAATAAAGTTGAGACAGAATAAAAAACTAAACATAAAAATGAAGCTATAAAATTGTTTGGAGGGCATAGTAGGAATATTTTTATAATTTTGTGTATAGAATATCTTTCTAAATGACTCAAACAAAAATATCATGAAGCAAAGTTTTACATATTTTACTGCACAAAAGTGTTTTAAAACATCCTTATACAGAAAAAAAAAGCATAAAGTTAGGTTTTGGTTCAAACACTTGCTTCTTCTTAAAAATAAAATATCGCAATTTTTTTAAAGCAACAAATTGAGAAAAAAAGATTTTGCAATATCTCTAATAGGTAAAAGGCTAATCAACACAAAGAAGTCTTGCATATTAGAAAGCTAAAGAGAAATAATCCAGTATAAAAACAGTAAGAGATAGCAACAAATCATTAAGAAAGGACAGACTACAAGTGGCGATAAACATATGCTAAATGTGCAACTGCAAGGAAGTTGGGCAAATGTGAATCAAAAAAGGAATTAACTATGATTTTCTCATCCATTAGGATGCCACACATTAAAAAGTCTAACAATATCCAGTGTGGAAGCAGGAATGCATATAGGTGCAAGACTTTTCTTGGAGCAATCACAAGTATCGATGAAAAATTTCAATGCACTAACCTTTAACCAAGCAAGAACGTGGATGTTTAGCCACATTTAGGGACACTCAAGGCTGCCAGCAGCTCAGCAGTTTGGAAGATGCTTCCCAGTGGTCGAATTTAGGGTTTGGTGTTATGGAGATGGTGCCGCTGAGAGCAAGGTTAATTCTTGGTAGACCATCTCAAAATCAGAGAGAGTACAGTGTGGTCTTCGTACAGATGAGGACTTTCACACAGAAAGTCAGTGGGAGCCCCCTCAAGTCCCTGTGAAAGCTGCTGGCCAGCATTGGGCTAATGCAACCTAAACACTCACACAGGTCTTTCCATACAGAAGGTACTATAAAGAAAGGTCAGCACAGAGACACCATATTGTCAGGAAACCTCAATCCGCCTTCCGAGCTGAGAAGCTGCGCTGGAAGCTGGGATGCTATGGTCAATTGACATTTGAAAATTACATGTGAAAATCACTATGGTGTGAGGAGGGGTACCAGCAAATTGTAAAATTACAGCATAGCTTTCTTAATACTGTGATGCAAAACAAACTTCATGGTTGTAACTATTTTTAAATGTATGATGCGGTAACTACTTTACTACCTTCACCACGTTGTCAACCATCACAGCATGTAGTCCCAGAAGTTTTTGATAACCCAAAAGTAGATCCGGGATCATGTACACAATCAGTCCTCTTTGAATTAATAGCATGAGAGAAAATATAAAGATATAAAATGATTTTGAATAACGTTGAATATGCAAATGAGAAATGTTCAAAATCCATTGAACTGGATGCATAGAGGGAGTCGTGTGCGGAGAGAACCACGTGCGGAGGGAGCCGTGTGCGGAGGGAGCCAGGCGCGGAGGGAGCCAAGCGCGGAGGGAGCTAACGCGGTGGTCACATAACTGTCCTCGGAGCACACTCGACGCCATTTTCTCCTTAGACGGTGAACGGGTGGCAGCTATGGCGGACGCTCCGGAGGTTGCTGGCGTTAGCCAAGAAGCCAAGCCTGATGCGTACACTTTGCAGGTGCTCCGAGACCTGGCCAATCGTTTGCGCATCCACTCCATCAAGGCCACGTGTACCTCAACCTCTGGGTAAGTCGCCTTCATCGAAGCCGAAGCCGGGTTGGCGCCGAGCGGCACGCTGTGGTGGTGGGGGGGGGTGTGGGGTGAAGGGAAGCGTCGGAGGTGGGTGGGTTTGGTCGTAGAGGCCCAATTTTGGGCCACTGGGACTTGAATTCTACCGTCAAACTCCGGTTAAGTGCGCTCACCGCTGGTTCACCCAGTGGAGAGCCACGTGCTCAAGCAATGGCTCCTCACCCGTCGCTGCCTTGCTGGTGGTCCCTAGTATCAACGTAGGCGCGTGGGCTGGCAGGGGACGGAGAGGGAAGTCCCAGGCATCGAATCAGGCTAAGGTGGAATGGGAGAGCCCCAGATTTTCTGTTTAAGTGGTTGCCTTCAACGCCAGGGTCCCCAAACCCACGGCAGGAGAATGTAGGGAAGTAAAGTCTGGCTCTGACTGGTTTGGTTCAGTTGGGCGGCGTCCGGCAAAGCGAAAGGTCCCCGGTAGGATTCTTGGTCAGGGCGCGTGCTTGCGTTGTGGGTTTTGTGCCCAGTTGGGGCACATACGAGACAAAACTAATCAATGTTTTTCTCCCTCTCTCTCTCCGCGGCCCTTTTCTCTAGAAATAAATAAAATGTTTTAAAGAAATAAGACCCTAAAAGGGGGCTGTTGGATCTGCTAGTATTTTGTTAAGGTTATTTGTATCAGTAGTCATAAGAAATGTTAGCAGTTTTCTTGCAAGGTATTTGTCTTGCTTAAATGTAAGGGCAGTGCTTGCCCCAGATAAGTTTCGAAATGTTTCCCTTTAGTTTTCTTGTTTTAGAACAGCAGTCCTCAACCTTTTCGGCATCAGGGGCCATTTTCTCAGAAGGCGGGAAGGAGGGGGGGGGAGGGGAAACAGGAAGTGGCGCTCCAGCCGTTTTGCTGTGGAGCGGAAGTTCTGCCGGCTCAGCCACCGCTTACATCCTGACATGCGACCTGGTTCTTAATAGGCCACGGACTGGTACTGTCCGTGGCCTTGGGGTTGGGGACCCCTGTTTTAGAAGACTTTGAGGATTAATGTTCTTTATATCAGGTCCAGTTTTTCTTTGAAAGGGAAATTTTTAACTACTGATTTAATCTCCTCATTATGGGTTAACTCCGATTTTCTGTTTTTTTGTGAGTCAGTTTTGGGTGTTTCTAGAAACTCCTTCCAGGTTGGCCCATTTATTTTTTCACTATATTTTATTGTTTATGCTATTACAGTTGTCTTAGTTTTTTACCTTTTTCTCCTCTATATCCTCCATTCTCACAGCTGTCAGTCTGTTCCATATTTCTGTTTCTGATTCTATTAATATTTGGCTTGTTAGTTTGTTTCGTTTGTTAAATTGCACATAAAAATCAAGATCATATGGTATTTGTCTTTCACTGGTTTATTTCGCTTAGCCTAATAGTCTACAGGTCCATCAATGCTGTCATAAAAAGTTCCTCCTTTTTTACTATGGAGTAATACTCCATGGTGCAAGCAGGGGTGGGGTGTCTAACCTGTGGCCCGTGGCATGCAACCCATAATGGCTGTGAATGTGGTCCAATGCAAAATCATACATTTACTTAAAATATTCCTGGTACTTATTTATCTTATGACTGGAAGTTTGCATCTTTTGACCATCTACCTCCAATTCCCCCTCCCCCAACCCCCACCACTAGTAACCACAAATGTGATGGTCTATTTTTTATGAGTTTGTTTTTAGATTCCACATATAAGGTAGATTACATAGTATTTGCCTTTCTATATCTGACTTATTTCACTTAGCATGATGCCCTCAAGGTTCATCCATGTTATCACAAATGGTAAAATTTCCTTTATAATAGCTAAATAATAGTCCATTGTGTATATCTACCACATCATCTTTATCCATTCTGTGAACATTTAAGTTGTTTCCATGTTTTGGCTGTTGTAAATAATGCTGCTATGAACATAGGGGTGTAGTTATCTCTTTGACAGTGTTTTCATTTCCTTTGGATATATTCCCAGAAGTGGAATGGCTGGATCATATGGTAGTTCTGTTTTTAATTTTTTTTTAAGATTTTATTTATTTATCTTTAGAAGGGAAGGGAAGGAGAGAGGGAGAGAAACATCAATGTATGGTTGCCTTTTGTGTGTCCCCTGCTGGGAACTGGCCTGCAGGGAACCTGCCTGCAACCCAGGCATGTGCCCTGATTGGGAATCGAACCATGATTGTCTGGTTCGCAGGCCCGTGCTCAATCCACTGAGCTACACCAGCCAGGGCCTGTTTTTAATTTTTTGAAGGTCCTCCACAGTGGCTGCACAGATTCACGTTCCCACTAACAGTGAACAAGAGTTCTCTTTTCTCCACATCCTCACCAACATCTACCTGTCTTTTTTTGTGATAACTATTCTAATATAATGGGAGGTGATACCTCATTGTGGTTTTGATTTGCATTTGTTTTATGGTTAGTAATGTTGCTCCCTTTCTTGTATCTGTTGGCCATTTGAACATCTTTGGGAAAATGTGTATTCACATCCTTTGACCATTTTAATTGGATTATTGGGGGGTTGCTATTGAGTTGTATGAGTTCTTTATATATTTTGGATATTAGCTCCTTACCAGACAAGCAAATATGTTTTTCATACTCCAGGTTGTCTTTTTCATTTTGTTTAAAGATTTTATTGATTTATTTTTAGAGGGGAAAGAGAGGGGGAGAAACATCAATGTGTGGTTGCCTCTCATGTGGCCCCACTGGAGACCTGGCCTGCAACCCAGGCATGTGCCCTGACTGGGAATCAAACCGGCAACCCCTTAATTTGCAGACCGCGCTCAATCCACTGAGCTACACCAGCCAGGGCTCTTTTTCATTTTTTTGATGGTTTCCTTTCCTTTCCATAAACTTTTTAGTCTGGTGTATTTTTACTTGTTTATTTTTTATTTTGTTTATTGAACTTTAGGTTTCACATCTGAAAGCTCATTACCAAGACCTATGCCAAAGAGCCTTTTTTCTATGTTTTTTTTTTTTAGATTTTATTTATTTACTTTTGGAGAGAGGGAAAGGGAGAGATACATCAAGCAGTTGCCTCTCACACACCTCCAAATGAGGACCTGGCCTGCAACTTTTCAAACCTTTCAGTTGGCAAGCCAGTATTCAATCCACTGAGCTACACCAGCCAGGGCTTTTCTGTGTTTTATTCTAGGAGTTTACTGGTTTCTGGTCTTACATTTAACTCAATCTATTTCAAGTTAATTTCTGTGGATGTTGTAATGTAAGTGTGCAGTTTCATTTTTTTACATGTGAATATTTAATTTTCCCAGCACCCTTTGTTGACGAGACTGTCCTTTCTCCATTGAGTTCTTGGTTCCCATGTCAAATACTAGTTGACCATATGTATGCATGAGTTTCTTTCTGCTTCATGGCATTTCTAACAATAACACAGATAAATTTAAACAAGTGAAAGAATGTCCAAGTGCTTATGGAATCACCAGGTAAACTTGTCCCAAGTACACAGGGGCTCCATTGATAGAAGGGGATTGGTGTTGGAGGTCTTGCTCTCCACAGGGGGGAAAGTTGTGAGGTTACTGGGTCTTAAGGCATTCTTAAAAGCTATGAGCTTGGGTGGCAGTGGCCCTGCATCCCTTTCCTTTGACTGGATTCTTCCAGGGCTGGGAGTAACGACTGCTGCTGGTCTGAGAAGACTATGTGCTGAAAAGCCTCTCCATATACTGTGTCCCTGGAGAGTCACTTGTGAGAAATGACCTGTGCCATGTCTGTTTTTCAGCCACCCCACATCATGCAGCAGCGCTGCTGAGATCATGTCTGTGCTGTTATTCCACGTCATGAGATATAAAGAGGAGGACCCGGAGAATCCAAACAATGACCGATTCATCCTCTGTAAAGTAAGCAAGCATGGGAGCCCAGGGCCTGCTCAGATGCTCACTTAAACTCACTTTTAAAGCTACCATGTGGCAACAAGGCCTGAAACGGGTTCTGTTTATCATATTGGTTCTTCTTTCTTTGCCTTATGTCATAGTCCATTTGAGGTGCTATAATGAAACACCAAAGACTGGGTGATGGATAGACAATAGAAATTTATCTTTCACAGTTTGGGGGGTTGGAAGTCAAAGATCAAGCCCACCATCATGATCACATTCTGGTGAGGGGCCCTCTACCTGGTCCCAGACTTCTGATTATATCCTCACATGAAGGACCTCTTTTATAAGGATACTAATCCCACTTTTGAAGGTTCTGCTCTCGTGACCCAATCACTGCCCAAAGACCCCCACCTCCTAATACTCTTATCTCAGGCATTAGGTTTTCAACATAGGGATTTGGGAGGGGGGACACAAACACTCAGATCATAGCACCTCATAAAGCTCTAAAAGGTGTTCTGGTGAAGAGTGTGGTAGGAAGGATCACTTGTGGTGACTGGCCATCCTTCCTTTCCTTTGGTGTGCCCCACCTCATACCACCTAGCAGTAAAGCCCCTCTTGACAGTCATGCTGCTCCCATCCTCTGTCATCTGGACAGAGGTGGGCAACATTAGTGAATCCAATTTTCTGAGCTGGTGGAAAATTGAGTTGGATTTGGAGGGACATTCTACCCCTGTCTGCTTTCTTTTCCATTTCTCTGTAGTTCTGACTTGACACCAATGGAGGACTTTCTCATTAGACTAGGTATAGTATCAGGTACCTCATTACATTGGGGCATGGGAAAGAAAAGGAATATTAAAAACAAGGTCCATCTAGTAAGAATGTGTAACTCTTCAATGCTGTCTGAAAGTTTGCTGCATCCTGAGCAAATCATTTAAAATTGAACTGATAGAGCACCATGTACAAACAGAAACCCGAGATCTGGGGCAGCAAAAGTAGTTTAAAAACAAAGTCAGAATGTGGGCTTGGCTGAAGTATCTTGGGTGGTAGTTATGACTCTGTCTTAGTGTCTGAAATATAATCTCAAATGAGGTTTGGAAAAAGGTAAACAAAATGCGTGAGTGTACATGGAAAGATTAGGAGATGCTGCAAAAGTGGTCCATTAGTAATAGTTGGTGAATCTAAGTGAAGAGAATATGGGACATGATTGTACTAGTCTTAAAATTTTCCTATAAGCTTGAACTTTCTTTACAATAGAAGTCAAATAAATACAGGTGTACAAACAGTATGAGTATTTAGATCTCTGCTTTAGAAAAAGAAAAGGTGTCTAGACTATCCCATATCCACTGCTGTACTATCAAATCATCGGACTCATTGGCCTTAGAGGGATAAAGAGGCTTTTTGGCATGCAGTAGCAGCCTGGGCACTGTTCAGTTGCCAGACTTTGTATTCATCAGATTTAATCAGCAGATAAAATTGAAGAAAGGAGGAATTACACAAAAGTGTAATCCATCTTGCCTTTGGCTGGGAATGGAGTAAATGAACTCCAGTACAAGCAGAGGAACCAGGATCTTCATGATCAGTGCTCCTGCAATGCACGTGTCTAACGCAGACAAGCACAACTGCTAAAACCTGGCAGTGTCACTCACTGAGGTGCCTGGATTCCCTTAGAGCCCTCAGGGTGCTGAAGTCTTGGGAGGGGAGGCTTACAATGCCCCCATCCCCCATCCAGGCCTTTGTTTTTGTTTTGTCAGCGCTTTGGTTTTCTCCAGCCAAGCAGGCCTGGAAAGTGACCAAAAGGCCCTTCTGTAAACTTGTTCTTGAGGCACACTTTTTGCTGGAACAAAGATGAGAACGTGGAAGAGAAGTATTTCTTTTCTGGGTTTCCGTAACTCCTTGTATGCATCTTTATTTTAGCTGTTGGTACCCTCAGTTGTGGCTACCTCCACAGCACAAGGGTTCTTGGAGAAGAGAAGGGAACCCATGTGGTGGCACTTCTGCCATGCCAGCATTATGTTCTTGCCCTGCCAACCTTCTCAATCAATCCTACAGCCTCCCGTCCCCCTAGGAGGGCTCTCATCTCCATCGTACCCACATAGTAAAGCTTTCAAGTGGTTTCACTTGCCCCTGTTTTAAAGCCAGGGAGAAACAGGGTTGGTCTAAGTTAGAGGTGTCAAACTTATTTTCACCAGGGGCCGCATCAGCCTTGTAGTTGCCTTCAAAGGGCTGAATGTAATTTCAGCTCCTTGAAGTTAAGGAGTAGTTATATTTATACAGTCCTAAAATTACATTCGGCCCTTTGAAGGCGACTCTGAGACTGATGTGGCTGGCCCTAATGAAAATGAGTTTGACACCCCTGGTCTAAGTGCACACTGCAGGCTGGGTCCAACGGCATGCAAGACAACTGGGAGCCAGAGCTTGTTACAGGAGTAAGATATAGGAGCCATGAGGAAAAAGATGGGGCTTGAGATGACATCAGGAGAGACTTCAGTGGGACAGTTCTGTGGGAGTAGAGATGCAAGATGGAGAGGGAGTCTCTGGGGTCATAGAGCATGTGGAGAAAGCTAGTAGTATGGTGGAGTGAGAAGGGAGAGGGACCTGAGACTAAGAAGTACCCTTCCATGGTAGTGACAGCATATACCAACCTCTGCTTGGTTGGAGCTGACAATTAAATGCAGGAGGGGGCAGAGAAGAAACACAGGTAATAGATAGCTGGCATGTCAGATGGGGCTGAGCATCCTGGATCCAGTGGAAGTGGAGGGGTAGGGGGGCACTAGTTGAAAAAGATGGTTTAGGAAGGCCTTGCTGCTGCCATTTAAGCAGAATTTTGAAAGGGGTGAGGGAGTCAGCTGTGCACTTGTTTAGGCACGAGCACTGAGCACTTGGGGAAGAGATAGCTGCAGGTGCTAAGACCCTCAGGCAGGCATATGCCCAGTGTGTAGTGTGTTCAAGGGGCAGCAAGGAGGCCAGGACACCCAGGGTGGTAGGAGGGAGAGTAGGAAGTGAGGGAGCACCAGAGTGGACAGGCCAGTGCAAGAACTTGGGTTCTACTTGGCACAAGAGAGCAAGATGTTGGTCATTTTTTGGTAGAGATTAATGCTCGGACTTAGGTTTTAAGTCTCCCCTGCCAATTGGGTTGAGAATGGCTATGGAGAAGCAGAAAGGCCACTACAAAGATGTAGGAGAGTGATATCTGTAGCCAAGACTGAGATGGTGGCAGTAGGAAGATGAGTAAGTTCATTGTGTCTTAAGAACCTGTATTCTCCAAAAAGATTGAACATTTGGTGTGTGTATGGCTGGATAAAAGGCCTTATGAAATGGCAAAGTTTTTGCTTAGGTTTTTGCTTTGCTCTTGAGCTCTGTTTAGGCTACTGCGTGGAGGAAAAGCCTCCCAAGCTATGTTCCCAAAGCTTGACACATGTGTCAATTACCTAAGGCTTCCCTCTCTTTGTGGTCTGTGACTTGGAGGTGCATATGGGTGTAGTGAAGAGGAATTTACCCCACAGGGTAGAAGGGGCCATTCTGAGGAGTAGCCTGTGCTCGGTGCCAGAAGTTGGCCTGATGTTCAACTTCCAAATACCTGTGCCCTGTAGCTGCAAATAGATTCATTTAATAGCTTCTCTTACAGCAACTGGCATTTTTCGATATGGCAATCGGATGGTACGGACAAGGACTGGGCACTGCATGCGGCATGGCATATACTGGCAAGTACTTTGACAAGGCCAGGTAAGTTGCATACCCAGAAACCACTTGACTGTCCCCATACCACCCCCAGCACTTTGGCCCTATTTATGACTTATTAATTGGGAAGATAGTGATCATTTGAAAGTTCAGATTACCGAATATTCAAGCAGTATAGAAATCGTGTTGCTGGAACCTGTTCTAAAATCTTTGGTTGGGTTCTAAGAGCTGCCTGCAGTATAGAAACCAGTTTATTAGGACTCCAGTCTTTCCTAAGAAAGATGTCTTCCTGTTCTCCATGTCTCAGTGAGTTTTACTAAAGAGTGAACAGATGGCACATTTGCCTTTGCATTGGGGACACCTAAATATTAATAGTCAAAAGTTTTCTTTTTTGGAGTGGTTCCACCTTTCTGAAGACAGGCATGTACCCAGCTGCTGCTGAAAAGGGAGCAAGGCGGTGGCAAGGGGCTGGGGTTGTTGGTCAGGTTGCATCGGTAGTGTGCATGTTCTACTTCTGTGACTCCTCTGCATGCCTGAGTCCAGAACCCCTCAGTCCCTGGTTTCAGTCCAGGTTGGCCTCTCTGGAGGCACGTCATGCTTCCTCTACTGTTCAGACAGCTGCCCTGCTCCATTTCCTGTAAGTCTGTTAACATTTTTTATGTCTTATTATTGCCTCTATTAAATAGTCTCTGCTGCATTTTTGTGGGGTCTGGGTTACATTTTATTGGTATAAACGTTTCATGTTTCTGCTGTGGAGTTCACCATTTTCAACATATGCTCCTGAGGTAGAATGTTTTGATTATCAGTTAATTTGTAAGATCACAGGTAGGTGGTGGTGCAAGATCACAGGTAGGTGGTGGTGCAAGATCACAGGTAGGTGGTGGTGCAAGAAACTGTAAATGCTTGGGTGTTTAAGGGAGTTGCTTTCTTCCCATCCCCTCTTGTTGGTTGTTCAGAAAAGTGGCAGAAGAGCCTAGAAATAGCCTTTACAATTAGAATGAGTAAACTAGCCAAAGGTGAAATCCATTTGTGGGGCCCAAGCTTTTTTGTTTGTTTGTTTTAGATTTTATTTATTTATTTTTAGAGAGAGAGAAAGAGGGGGAGCCCTGGCTGGTGTAGCTCAGTGGATTGAGCACGGGCCTACAAACCAGAGGATCACAATTCAATTCCCAGTCAGGGCACATGCCTGGGTTGCAGGCCAGTTCCCAGCGGGGGACATAAATGAGAGGCAACCATACATTGATATTTCTCTCCCTCTCTCCTTCCCTTCCCATCTAAAGATAAATGAATAAAATTTTTAAAATTTATTTTAAAAAGAGGGGGAGAGAAACATTAATGTGTGAGGGAAACATTGATGGGTTACCTGTCACGGGCCCCCCAACTGGGGACCTGGCCCACAACCCAGGCATGTACGCTGACTAGGAATGGAACTGGCGACCTTCTGGTTCACAGGCTGACGGACTCAATCCACTGAGCCACACCAGCCAGGGCAGGTCCAAGCTTTTAAAGCTGTGTTTCCTCAGATGTTGAGTTTGGACAGGATGAACAAGGAAAATAGTCTTAAGAACTTGATCTGAAGCGGCTGCCTCATTCTGTTCCCTTGTTTCTCTCCATGAAATATATTAGCTTGAGTGGCCATGAAGAGATCTGAGCAGGGTCCTAAACTTCTTTTGACTTCTCCCAGCTACCGGGTGTTCTGCCTCTTGAGAGACCGTGAGTCTTGGGAAGGCTCCGTCTGGGAGGCATTGGCCTTTGCTTCCCACTACAATCTGGATAATCTCATAGCCATCTTCGATGTGAACCGCCTGGGCCGCAGTGGCGTCTTGCCCATTGAGAACTGCATAGACATCTATCAGAAGCGCTGTGAAGCCTTTGGGTAACTGTCCTGTTTTATATTACCTTTTTCTCCCCCACCCCCCCTCCACCTAGTAACCTGGCCTTCTGTTCCGTTGACAGGTGGAACACTTACGTGGTGGATGGCCGTGACGTTGAGACACTGTGCGGGGTATTCTGGCAGGCAACTCAAATGAGGGACAAGCCCACTGCTGTAATTGCCAAGACCTTCAAGGGCCGGGGCATGCCAAGTAAACAAGTGTTTTCTTTCTGCTTGGGGTTATTAAAAACATCTCTCTGCACAGAATACAAGTCAGGAGACTCTGGCTGGCCAGGCAGACTACTGACTTATCGCACAGTGACTATGCCTGAAATATGTGCTGCTCCTGACTTTTTATAGATAGTGTGTCTGGTTAGGGTGGGAGGGGAAGCCCAGGTCCCCAGCAAATGATCAGTGATTTTCTGCCTACATGAGGGAGTGGATAGGAGAGTAGTTTTATCAGTTAGAGGACTGGCAGGGAAAGATCTCCACGGGAGTGCAGAGTGAGAAGGTACTGCTCTGTGCGTGACCAGATATGTAAATAAGGGTGAACACACACAGGCATACCCATGCTTGCCTGTGCCCAAAGTATCAGGGAAAACACAGGCAACTAGTGAAGTGGTACCTCCAGGAAAGGTAGCTGTGGAATTGAGGGCCTGGCAAAGGAAGGCATTTTGAAAGTCTTGCAGATTTCAGAACTGACACCTGGAGTTGTTCATTTCGAGTATGAATAGTTGCAAAGGGTGTGTGATTCCTGGTATGTTTTAATATAGAGATTTTATAATAAAACTGTTCTAAGACTCTTCAAAGTACAGTCTTACTCTGGTATCCTGAGTTCAGGAAATGACCACTTGACTGATTTGCTTCTGGCAGAAACCTGGGTACCATCCTTGCCTCTCCCATATATGCTCCCCTACCCAGTCCACCATCAATTCTGATTTCTGCCCTTGAAGTATATCTTAAATCTGTTCAGTCTTCTCCCTCTCTCCTACCCAGGCCCCTGCCATCTCTCCCTAACTGCTGTCTCCACAAACCAGTCCCCACGGGGGGACCTGTAGTGATCTTTCTACAACACAGGTCTGATTATTTACCTCCCCCACTCCAACCCTTCAGTGGCTTCCCATCTTGCTTTGGACAAAACTCAGAACTCTTTATACCCATGGGATCCTCCATAGTCTGCCCTGCCTATCTCTCCAGGCTCATTTCTCTCACTCTCCTCTCCATTCACCAGCACATGGACCAGTGGCCCCTTCAAGAGCCTCTGGGCCTTTGTCCGGGCTGTTCTCTAAGAGAACAATACCATTTCAGGCTATGCCAGATTTTTACTCCTGAGTCCTTGGCTGACATTATTTCCATCAGGATGTCACCAGGTGCTCGTGAAGTATTTATGGAATGAACATCTTTTATTCCTTTGCAGGCATTGAGGATGCAGAAAGTTGGCATGGAAGACCAATGCCAACAGAAAGAGCAGATGCAATTATCAAATTAATTGAGAGCCAGATAGAGACCAACAGACATCTCGAACCAAAACCCCCTATTGAAGACTCGCCTCAAGTCAAAATCACAGACATAGAGATGACCTCTCCACCTGCTTACCAAGTTGGTGACAGGGTAAGCAAGGTTTGTTTTATTTTCTTCCTAAATCCACAGGACTCCTCACTTACTCTGATCTCCATGGATGAATCAGTTATTAGATTGTGTAATATTTAAAGGTTAGAGCAATGAAGACTGGTTTACCTTTTCTTTTACTGTCTCTGATTTTTACTATTTGATTTTAAACTTAATTTACATTTGAATTTTTTTATCAGTCATTTGCTGCCTATTAGCATTCAGTGCTGTAAAGCTTTTGCTTGCTTCCTGAACTCGGTTTGTGGTTTGGCAGTCTACTGTGCATGAAACAATTCTGTGTCTGTTCTAAAGATGGGGGGCCTGGCTGGGCTGATCTTTTGAACTTCTTACTCCCTGGATTACACAAGGAAGCAGGCTAATTCATCAATGACCAATTCTTCAAAAAAGAAAATACATTAGGCACGAAACCCTGAACATAAAATCTTTTCATTTTTTATCATTTGTATATCTTGCCTTTTTGTATATTACATCAGACCCAAAATAGGTGCGGTAAGGAAACAAGGTGCTGAGCCTGGGAGGAAGAAAACTTTTTCTGACCTTAATTTTTCTTATTTATTTGGGGACATTCTGAGTGTTGCTTATGTTTTCTTGGCCTGGTAATACGGGTTTAAAATGAGTTGACTACTCAAGAAATTAGAAAACAGATGAAAAGGCAAAAAAGAGTTAATAAGAAAAAAGCACATGTTAACAAAGGACACTTTGACAACATGTGTCAACACTTGAACTGTTCACACCCTTCAAACTGAGGAATTTGTCCTACAGAAACATCTGTGCAAGTGTGCAGGTATATCTGTCAGAATGAATATTGACTGCATCATTGGTTATGATGATAAAATTGTGAATCGTGCTATTGTGGACATTCGTGTACAAGTTTTATGTAGATGTAATTTTCTCTTGAGTATATACCTAGGAGTAGAATTGCTTGGTCACATGGTAAATCTATGCTTAACATTTTGAGGAAATGCCAGGCATTGTTTTAATAGAAATAATGTTGTAAAGATGTCAGTTCTCCCCTAAATTCATAAATTTAGTCAAATCTCAAACATATTCTAATGGAATTCTTTATTTTTGGTATCAGGATTCTGAAGTTCTACTTTTTAATATTTGCAGTGAGTATTATCAGTTTGATAGTTGAAAAGTTATAGAGGCATTTACATTTCAGTAAATTTAAATTTTTTAATCAACTACACAAATGGTATAGAGGAATGAATGTATCTTTGAGAAATTGGCACAAGTGAGCCAAATATGGATTCAAGATTGGCTAGCAGTCCATTTTTATGACCCTAAGAGAGATGATTGGTGAATCACAAATTTGCTTTTCTTCATTTAGATAGATGACAATTTGCAATTCTATAAAATTTAACCTTCTAAATCCATTCTAAGAAACTCTGCTCTTTGACTCTTCCAGGTAGCTACTCGTAAAGCATGTGGTTTGGCTCTGGCTAAGCTGGGCCACGCAAATGAGAGAGTCATTGTGCTGGATGGTGACACCAAGAACTCTACCTTCTCCGAGATGTTCAAGAAGGAGCATGCTGAGCGCTTCATTGAGTGTTTTATTGCTGAGCAAAACATGGTGTGTATGCTATGACTGTCCTTCTTGGGTCTTCTCATTGATTAATAGTGGCTCACTGGACACAGGAAGCCCAGCCTACCTTGTAGTTTTCCTTTTCATTTATAAAAGCAAAGGCACTGGGGAAAAAAATGTCTCCAGGGAAACAGGTAGAGAGTAGCCGGGCAGAGTCTGACGGGTGGCTTCCAGAACTGCTAGGAGGAGCGTGGTAGATTGCCCAGCACCCTATCCTGGTAGGCAGCAACCATTCAACCCCAGGGCTCCAGACCCAAAGCATCCTGAGCTCCCTGGTAGCTCTAGGTGGCCTTGCTCTTTTTGCCCGGCTCACAACCACGCAATTCTACAACCACACAGAGACCAGTAGGTTGAGAGGGCTACAAAGGACTGTGATTTCTTTATCTCCACTGTACTGCAGGACCTAATATACCCTAGATACTCAGATGTTGTGCAAACTGCAGCCCCAAGAATGCCAATAGAGCTGTGGTCTTGGATAAAGCTGTTCTGCTTATCTGTGCTTCGTCTCTCCCTGGAGTGCTGATACTGCAGGGAGCCTCTTTTACTTGTGCACATACCCCCACACCCCTCTTCTCAAAGAAAGAAAGGAGTTAATGCTAGTAAACACCTTGACTTCTAAAGCCCTGTGCCAGTGCAGAGGACAGTGTACATTTGTCTTCACACTTCAGAGGCCAAAAATAGCACTGGCTGGAAAACTACAGGCCAGCAGGTTTCACGTGACCACCAGAGGTATTTTATTTAGAACAAGTAGTATTTACAATTTTTTAAAAGTAGTTGCTAAACAGAATAAAAACAAAGACACTGAAATAGAGAACAAGTGGGCAGTAACCAGAGGGGAGAGGGAAGGGAATTTAAGGGGAAAAATGGGGAGGGATTTTGAGGAACAAGTATGAAAGACACAGGGATGAGGACTGGGGGGTGGAAATGGGAGGGAGGTGGGGAGACCTGGCGGGGGGGGGCTGGGGTGGGAGAAATAGACAAAAAAATGTACTTGAAAAATAATTAAATGAAAATAAAATAAATAAATAAAAGTAGTTGCTAGCTTTTAAAGATTAGGTTTTATGTAGAATATTAATTTCTGGATTCTCTTGAAGAATGGGAAAATCTGGCAGTGCTGGGATGGCATTCCCTCAGTCAGCTAGAGCCATTTAGATGGGACGTGTACCCTAACCCTTTTCCCAGCCTGCTCATTCACTCATGGTGCTTCCTGGGCCCTGTCAGTGTTGGAATGTCAGGCCCCTGTTCAGTAAAGTGGGTCATCACAATTGTAAGAATATACACATTTTTCTATGAGTCTTATTAGGCTATTTCTAGTTGGGAAAAACACAATCCATAATTTTCTGAATTAAGCCTCCTATTAAAACCTTGCTCCCCAACTCACTGATGATTCCTTCAGTCATCAATCATATACTCTGTGCCTATTGATGTGTTCTTAAAAGTTGGAAGAAAACTAGTAAAGAAGAAGCCAGCAGGTAGTATCCAGTGCCAAGATTAAACAGATAGCTAGTGAGAGCGTGACCAGCACTAATCAGGGACAGCCTCTTGGAAGAGGTGACATTTCAGCTGAGACTTAAGTGACAAGGAGACAACCATGCATAGATATGGAGTGTGGCATTCCCAGCAGTGGGCATAGCTGTCTCTGTAGCAGGCCCAAATTTGAGATGTTTAGGGGACAGAAAAAAGTCAAAGAGTGGCAGGAGTATAGTGAATACAGAAGGAAATTGGTTTAGAAAGGTCACCAAGGACCAAACCATATGGGGCTTCTGCAGGGCAAGACCTCGTGCCAGTTCCCAGTGGAGGGGGGCAAATGTGGAAGGATGTGACTGAGCCCCAGGACTCAGTCCAGTAGCCTTGGTAAAGTGGTGTGCACCACCCAGTAGGGGCAGGAGCAGCAGCATCCATTGGAGGAGGAGAGTTGTCTCGTGCAATGCTGCTGAGAGGTCAGATGCAATGCAAACAAATCAGGCAAACTCTTGCATTTGGCACCTTCAGAGTCCCTCACAGGGATGACAGGATAGCCAAAGGAGGCCAGGGAGGGACAGTGTGAGAAGTTGGAAGGGAGAACATAGATGAAGGGGAAGGCAGTCTGGAGGGGAAGGAAAAGAAGGAGGTGGGAGGGTGAAGATTGAAGATAGCGGCAAATACTCCAATGGTGAGCGAACCCAACAGAAAGGGAAAAACTGATTGAATACAGAAGGGGAGGGGAGGGGATAATTTCACAGAGATACCCCTGAGAAAATAAGATTCAGTATGGTGAGTGGGCCTTAGGTAGATGCAGGGCCACCATGTCTCTTAGCAGCACAGTTGGAGAGGCCGGTTGGGGCATATGGGAGAACCTCCATTGTTCACCTCATTCCTCAGGAGGTGTGAGGTGAAGATACTATGTGAGGGGGCTGGGAGAAAGGTGTGCAGAAGGTTTGGGAAGAGAACAGGAAGGAGACACATGAGGGATTGGGGGGTGGTCATAGGTGTCCCAAGCTTTTCTTTCTTGGATTTGAGGAACCAGGTCAATTCCCCTGATTTCCAGCAGTGTTCAGGGGACACTGGGTTTGCCAGGTTTAGGGTTTCCCTGTGTATGTACTTGGGAGGGGGGCAGGGAGGTGTGCACAGCAGGGTTGTTATCCTGGGAACCATGCAGTATATGCCGGATTAGGGGAAAGGGGGGGCAGTTAAAGGTCATGGGGGCCATGTCCAGGGGTGTTCTGATTTCCCTTCTTGGTGTTACAGGTGAACGTGGCACTGGGATGCGCCATCCGTGGTCGGACCATTGCTTTTGTTAGCACCTTCGCTGCCTTTTTGACCCGAGCATTTAATCAGATCTGTATAGGAGCCATCTTTCAAAGCAACATCAACATTGTTGGGTCCCACTGCGGGATATCTGTCGGTATGAGTTCTCAATGCCATCCTCTCCATAGGCTTTCTACTTTACAGAGTAAGATTAGTATCCGAACAGTTGAATCTCCAATGTACATAGGGTTTCATAACGTTTGATTGCTTGTAACCATTTTTTCTAAAAAAACATTGTGCTTTACAAGTTCTAGGTACTTTGGGTTACTTTTGACTAAGTCTTTTGATATTACTATAAAATGCCCACTTCTGCAGTCATTGAGAAATAATAATCTGTCCTGAGTTCTTCTTACATGTCAAGCCACATACTGGGTATGAGTGGGGCTGTCCCAGCATTACAGAATCCCTTTCTGCTCTTGGTCATGGGCACAGGAAAGTTAGGAACACGGCCTGCAGGACTTTGCCTGGGTAGAGCAGCTTGGTGGGATGGAACGGGAAGCTTTGAGAATCCCGATGCTGGGAGTGAGGCTGAGGAAGACATCACTCTTGGGGTATTAATCTGGCAGGACAAGTTGGTGGAAACAACTGGAAATTGGAAAGCCAGGAAGAGTGTTGAAATACAGTGTACATTAGCAGTGGATAGAAAATAGGGTGGATCTGAAAAAGTCTGAAGAAAGAAGTCATGTTGCTGAGAAATGGAGAAGTCCAAAATTGCCTGGGAAACGTCAAGGAGTCAGGGTCACGAGTGACAGATGAGGATTTGGGAAAGATGACTGATGTACCTGCTGCAGTGGGGCAGGAACCCTAGGTAGATGAAACAGCTTACATTTGTTGCTTAGAATGCTAGAGGGGAGGGGAGGGCTAGAAGTGCACAATTGGGAGTCATTTTTGGGACTCCCTGGGAGAACTACACTAGCAAAGAAGTTTCTGTATGGGCCAGATACAGGCGGGGAGAGGAGAGTAGAGCTCCCAGCACTCAGGGCTGGCCTGGCAGAGGGCCTATGAATTGGGGGTCTCTTCCTGAGGCTGGGTGGAGTGAAAATTTCAAAATAATCAGCTAAATGGAGAAGTGGCTCTGGGTCCAACCCAGAGGAGCTAGGTGTTCTGAGGTTGGACAGTTATCCCAGGCAAGGCAGTGTGCACAGTGAGAGCACTTCAATCTATAAAAGCCCTAGTCTTGATGGAGTAGAGAAGGAAGGACAGAGCCTGAGAGGACCTTCATAAGAAGAATGGGGACAGGGACAGACTTTATGGGCCAAATCGGTCACCTGTGCTTGAGGAGAAGAGCATCAAATCACCTTGGACAGTAGTAGCAGTGACCAAGTACCAGAGGTTGGCAAAGGTCAAAGGCCAGAGGTATGGGTCATGTGGGCCACATGCAGTTGGTGCAGGGTGACTATGAATGTGGCCAAACACAAAATTATAAATTTACATAAAACCTTTTTTTTTTTTGCTTGTTACTTTTCATCAGTGATTGTGTATTTAATGTGTGGCCCAAGACAACTCTCCTTCCACTGTGGCAGAGAGATGCCAAAAGGTTGGGACACTCCTAGTCAAGACCAAAAAGGGACCACTGTTTGCTGATCTGGAAGGTCAATTAGCTGGATCTGGAGTGTCACAGTAATGTCTCAAGGGAGATAGATATGTGTGGCAACTCATTACAAGGCATTATGTTGGCATAAGAGTTGGATGGTTTTGTAGGGCTCTGCTACAGTTGTGCCCCTCACCCCCACCTCGTGGCAGTAGGAGCTGTTGTTTATCGAGCAGAGGACAGGGTCCTAGCCTCTTGGTCTTGCTCACATTTTTGTTGGGCTGTGGCTTTGTTTTCTCAGGTGAAGATGGCGCCTCCCAGATGGCACTGGAGGATTTGGCCATGTTCCGAGCCATCCCCAACTGCACCATTTTCTATCCAAGTGACGCAATCTCGACCGAGCATGCTGTGTTCTTAGCGGCCAATACCAAGGTATTTTTAAGGGACACTGGTTCAGACTGAAAATGCTTCTGAGCTCTGCTACTGGTTGGGTACTGATGGCAAGATTTTTCCTAGTATTTTTCCTGAGCATAAAGGTAATAGATTTGTCCATAGGATTCCTTTGAAAAATGCAACCATTACCCAGTAAAGGTGATTTAAGCACATAAAACAACACAGTCTAAGACAAATAGTGCCGAGGGATGCTGACCACCACCACATGGGCCCAGATTGGGCAGGGCTCAGCCAGAAGAGGGAGTCTGGGGCTCTGAGGCAGGGAACTTCTGGCAGGGCTGAAGGAATTAGCTCCAGCAGTGAGTTATCAGGTGCTGGCCTTAGACATGCCCCATGCCACCACCTTGTGACAGCCAGAAAGCTGGAGCGTGGCTGGTGGGACTCCATTGCAGACAAACCCCAGGGTCACTCATCAACAGTGCAGAAGAGCAAGAGTATGGTTTCTGCCCCACTTGTCCCTCCTGAAGTCTCACACAAGGACATCAGATGAACACAACGTAATTCCTGCCCAGGATCCAGCTGCAGGGGCATCTAGAGGATGTAGTCTTCACCTTTCCAATACTGCAACTATCTGTCAGCAGGCTCTCCTCACCACCCAGCCAGGCCCCTACAAAGGGGACTCTGGACACAGTTGGGGTAGATTGTGTAAGTTCCGTTATAAGCATTTGCAGTGTGTTAAAGATACTATATCTTGGAAGTTGCTTTATGCCTGTGCCTACACAGCGTGATCGCGTATGCTGGAGGATTTCATTTCTAGGAAGTTCAAAAAAGGCAAAATAAAGCTGTAGTGACAGATAAGGAGATTTCAACTTGGGTAGGCAGAATGTGACAGGACAGGCACAAAAGAACTTTCTGGGCAGATTTGTGAAGTGCTCCGCTGAGGTAAATTTTACCTCAGTAAACACTGAATAGCCCTGGCTGGTGTGGTTCAGTGGATTGAGCATTGGCCTGTGAACCATAAGGTCACCAATTTGATTACCAGTCAGGGTACATGCCTGGGTCACAGGCTAGGTTCCCGGTTGGGGGCGTGTGAGAGGCAACCAATCTAGGTTTCTCTCCCACATCGATGTTTCTCTCTCTCTTTTTCTCCCTTCCTTCTCCTCGCTCTAAAAATAAATGAACAAAATTAAAAAACACTTAATATAGTTGATTTATAACATGGGAATGAACAGAAGTTAAGTGTGTTAATTAATATATTTGTTTATAATGTATGATTTATATATTATGTAAATTGAATACTTCAGACATTTGAGTATTTATTTATACTTGTTTATGTGTTCAAGTTGATAGAAATGTATTTACATCTTCTCACTGGGAAAATACTGAGTCATTTTATATTTCAGTGTTCAAGGCATTTCTAAGGTTGAAGCATTATAAACTGTTGTGGGAAAAATTAACTATTTAGCATTGTGTTCTGACCTTTCTATTCAACATGAACCAGTGTTCCTGCCCTGAATTTATGTTCTGTGGAGGCAGGTCGGTATGTATCTGAGAAAGCTTTTCTAAATCAGTGAATATGACAGTGTGGAAAGCTTGCCACAGAGGGCCTCCACCAGGGTCCTGCATAAACTTTTGCCTCGCTCAGTAGTAACCCAACCAGGTGATACCCGACCAGTTTGCCAGTAGTTGTAAGTACTTATCCCTTGATTCAAAAATGTGTGCTTTGTTTTTAGTAAAAGGATCTATTCAGTCTTCCTCTTCTCTCCCCACTGTTTTTTTAAAAAGCTTACTAGTTAGATATTGAGTTTGATTTTCTAATAGTTCTGCTTTTCCTTTATACCCTAGGAGATTTGCTACATTCGTACCAGCCGCCCAGAAACCAATGTTATTTACACCCCACAAGACAGTTTTGAGATTGGACAAGCCAAGGTAAGGGCTTAAGTTCTCCAGTGTTCTCTTGTATCATTTCATGTGCAGAGAACTATTTTAAAGCTAGTACTAGGTATCTGCACAATCAAGGCTTTATCTTTTCTTCATTCTAGGTTTTAGAAAAACAGTTGTGACCTTTGCCTGCTTTTCCTCCAGAAGGAACATTCTACCAATATCAGCCAGAACTGAACTTTTCTCCTTTCCAAATGGAGACTCTCGCTATTAAGTTTTCAAAGATAAGCAGTACAACTTGAAGGCACTTGAGTTGCTTGGCTATAGCTTATCACAGCCTCAAGCTGAACAGAATAATAGAATCCATTTCAAAGGAATAATAGATCTGTGAGGTTCCAATTTGGCATATTCAGAGCCAGGGGAAAAAAAGGGAACATGAACCATCTTGCTGCCAGCCATTGTGTTGCCCTGAGATGAGTTTTGCACATTGAATGTGGCCTCACCTGTAGGCCTTTTGTTAAAGGCATCCTGTGCACTTTCTCTCTCCTGCATTCCCACAAAAGCCCTAGAAGCACGGATTGTTATAATGCAGCCCCGTATTGCAGACAAGGATCAGAGAAGATGGGCTTTGCTCGGAGTTCACAGTAAGCAGCAAGAGATTATACTGCATAGGAAAATTTTGTGCCTTATTCTTATCATATGACTTTTTAGGAAGTCATTAACGTTCTTCTTTTAACAAGTATTTATTTTTAGAGGGGGGAAGGAGGAAAAGAAGGAGAGAAACATTGATGTTCTAGAGAAAGATCAATTAGTTGCCTTCTGCATGTCCCAACTGGGGACCTAGCTTGCAACTCAGGCATGTGCCCTGACTGGGAAGTAGACTGGCAACCTTCCAGTTCACAGGCCAGCGTTCAATCCACTGAGCCAATACTCTTCTTAAATATGTGAAAGACCAGTAGCTGTTCTTGAAGGAGTAATAGTGACATTCTACTTGATTCCTAAAGGCTAGGCTGTTCTAGAATTTATAGTTATTAGTCTTCAGAATGAGCGCTAAGTAGCTTTATGCTATAATAAAGTATGTACATCTAGAACAGTCCATGGCCTGCAACGAGGTAGCTGGCCAACATTGAATGAAAAGCTGGAGTATTCACCTTCAGGGTTAACTTTAGGTTCTTTGTTCTCTACTCCCACATTTAAACTCAAGCCCATATGTTTGCCTGTGGAGTGTGTGGGGGTCTTGATGGTAGTCATACAGTCTAGAGCTTTCTCATATCTCTCCTTTTTGTCCCCTAATATTTTCCCTGCCCTGACAAAATAAATTTTCAAATGGTAAAGGATATTAAAATGTGTAAGATAACATGCATGGCATGGAATAGCTCAAGGGCTAAGTTTTGCAAAAGGGGTGTATGTATGTGTGAGTGAGTGAAAAAGCTAGGAAATTTTCAGAGAATGGGGTGGCTTAGAAGCCCCAAATATCTTTACTTGTCAGCAGTGGTCCTAAAGTATAGGGAAACCTATACAGATGGCTAAAATGAAGACTAATTCCAGATACCTTCAGTTGGGGAGCTTTGAAGGAAACCAAATTCTATGAGAAAGGCCAAGGGCACCTGTTTTTGCTTACAGAATAGAGGATGGTTGGGAGTGTGGGTTTAACATCAGATGGGTGGCATGGTTGCTAGTCTCAGCCCTGGGCAAGTTCCTCCTGCTCTGAGATTTGCTTTCCTCCACAGCAGAATGGAGCCACTAATGTTGTAGACCTTACGGAGCACTTGGGGCATGCAAGGTGCTTGGCACAGAGCATGTAACAAGTGCCCCCAGATGGTCCCTGTTAGCATGTTCATCAGTGGAGTTCAATCTGTGTGTTCATCCCAGTGATATGTCCAAGCCATCCAGAGATGGTGCCTTTCCAGACTCCTCAGTGGGTATGAGTCTCTGCTCTGGCCATACATAGACCACACAACTCACTTCTGACCCTCTCTGCCTTTCAGATCCAAGTTTGATACCTAACTTCTTTGTTAAAAGGTCATTTTGTATGTATTCTGTAATAACTTAGTGATTTGGTACGGAAACCATGAAGAAAGGTACATGAATTTATAAAACATATGCAGTGGGGGTTAATCAGAAAGCATGTCCTGTGTTGATTTAGCCCTTTTTTATAGTGAATTATTGAGTGAAATTGGTAGGACAGAGAAGAGCACTGGTGTCTTACACTTTGAGACGCGCTCTAACCATAGTAACCACATTTTTGTTTTGCGGTGTTCAATACCAGGTCATTCGCCACAGTGTCAATGACAAGGTCACGGTTATTGGAGCTGGAGTCACTCTGCATGAAGTCCTAGCAGCTGCTGCTGACCTTTCCAAAGAAGGTCAGTTTTTTTTTTTTTTAAGATTTATTTTTACAGAGGGGGAAGTGAGGGAGAGAGGGAAAGAAACATCAATATGTGGTTGCCTCTCGCATGCCCCCTCCTGGGGACCTGGCCTACAAGGCAGGCATGTGCCCTGACTGGGAATTGAACCAGCAACCTTTTGGTTAACAGACCTGCACTCAATGCACCAAGCTATACCAGTCAGGGGAGTTGTGTTTTGTTCTGTTTTGTTTTGTTTTCTTGAATGTTAAAGTTCGAGCTGGGGAGAGGTAGGACTCAGGCTACCTCTTGTGCCCTGATTGGTCTTTTTATTCTAAGTCTGCTTCATATACCAAGCTGGTTATTGCTGTTCTCCAGATATTTCTATCCGTGTCATCGACTTATTTACCATTAAGCCCCTGGATGCTGCCACCATCATCTCCAATGCAAAATGCACAGACGGCCTAATTATCACAGTGGAGGATCATCACCTGGAAGGTATGTCTTTTTCAAAGTCTGCTTTGGCAGGATGTGTTTGTGTTTTCCTTGATTGGAGGCATCCTGTGCTCCTGGCCATCATTTCCAAATTATACCAAATCACTTACCCAACAAACTTTATTACTGGTTTTTGCAAGTGTATCGGCTTAGGGGTCTCTCTCCCACCTACACTGGCTCCCTAAGCGTGGGGCTGTTCCCATACTCATCTGTGTGTCCTCAGCACAGTACACAGTGCCTGGTCCCTGGGTGGTTCAGTGGCAGCACAAAGGAATGTCTAACTCAGCCTTGGCATTGTGGGCAGGGAGGGGTCATGAAGAGCTTCACAGTTGCTCTTGAGTTTTGAATGACTAATAGTTTCCATTCCCCCCCCCCCAATCCCAAAATGGGAAGAGTGTTTTGCAGTCAGAGAACACAGCAAATGCAGAAAAAGAATATATCAGAGAAAGGAGGCTAGGCAGTGCTTGGCTTGGGAATGTTAGATGGAGTAGGTAAGGGGCCTCAAGGGCAAGCCCAAGATCCACAGAGGGTCCCTAGAAGCACTCCCTGTGCCTTCATGGTTGAAATTTATTACCAGGGTGGAGAACTCCAGGCCTCAGGCTTTCTCCCTCCGTCAATCCCATGAGGGGCTTGCCAAATACTCTCCCCTCTTTATCAGTGAAAAATGTGTCACTGCAGACCCAGGGAATCGACCCACCTGAGGCCCAGTACCCCGGGTTTTATTGGGGGCTGGTCACATGGGCCTCCTGTGCCAGGCACATACCAAATGTCCCACTTCCAAAGGAGAGCAGGTGCTCCACATAAACCGCCCTACTGTGCAAACAGTCCAGGCTCAGGAACCACCATTAGCAGTAGGGAGATTGTCACATTGACCCAGGAGACTTGCACCGGCTCACTGCCCATGTGCCTGCCACCTGAGGGCCAACGTTGCAAGTGGCCCTTCTGAAGCTGATCATCTCAGGCCTGCCAGTTGCTCTCTTCTTTATAGTTCATTTGTTGCCTTTAATTGTTTTTGGGTTTCCGACAGCTTTGAGTATCTGAGCTCCATAGTCCCCTGTATCCATGAAGCCCTAGTTGAGAGAGCCCCTACTGTAGGTGGGGCTGTGAGCAATTTGGAAACCTGCAGTTTAGAATGAGAATTCTTCTGGCCAGTCAGGGAGTGACTGCTTCCATGAATCAATACTAATGAAAAGTCTTTCTCTCTGAGAACCAGCAAATTCAAAGGCCTGTATGTCATGGGGCATTAAGGCTGACTAGCTGCTTCCAAAACAGAGCCTGATATCCCTTGCTTCCCCCAGGTGGCATCGGGGAGGCTGTCTGTGCAGCTGTTTCCATGGAGCCTGACATCCTGGTTCATCGCCTGGCAGTGCAAGGAGTGCCTCGGAGTGGGAACTCCAGTGAATTGCTGGATATGTTTGGAATTAGTGCTGAACACATTATAGTGGCCGTGAAAAGTGTTCTAGCAAACTAAAATAGCTGTCGGCATCAACCTTAAAATACAAGTTCTACATTTATGCTTGTCGACAAACCTTCATTTAAATCTACACTGTTTGTTCTTAGTTATTTTAAAAAGCAAAGCAAATTAACTACCTTCATGTTAAGCCATAACTACCAAGTGTAACACTCATCTTTAAGTAATTAAAGTGGGTTTTAAGTGACAATAGCTAACAGCCACCTAATACCAAGTTTGGTGATGATGAGACTACAGATATGTGGGCTGGGGATTAACATCCAGTAACAGTTTTTCAATGTGTGTATTTTCCTAATAAGTAAAGAAAATGTGAACTGTAGACTGTAACCACCTGGGCTGTGCAGCACTATGGCATCATGCTGCACACTGTCATCCCAGGTCAGGAATTTAAGTGCTGCCATCCTACCTGCAGCTTCCTGGGCACTGTGTGACTGTGGATGTCCTGGAATTTCATCTCCCCTCTTAGGGTGCATGGAGCAGCAGTGAAAGATCTCAGAATGTTGTCCGCTGCTTGGGGTGACTAGTCTGTGAAGAGAGGACACAACTAGTTCTAGTCTCCACACTGTACTCTTTTGTGAGGCCCCAGAAATGTCTTACTTGCCCAGTGAATACATCAAACTTAGTTCATTATATTTACTTACTATAGGTACTAGTTAAACGTTAATAAAGCATTTAAAAAGCATCTGCTTTGTTCCATTTGTGTCTTATATGTGTGATTTGGTTTCTCCTGGGTAAAATCCTCAGTGAAGAAAAAGCTTCTATCTAAACCAGGAGGAGAATGAGCCATGTCCCCAACAGCAAACCCAGGAAAAGGTACAGGGCAGCAGATGTACCACTAGAGGACAGTATATGGCCTCAAAAGCTATCCCTGAGCTGACTCTTTATTTCAGCTGTAAGCATATAAATCATGGCTGGAATACAAGAGTAAAGTAACCCGATAAAGAAGTATTTGAACTTCGAAACTTAAAGTTGACTGCATGTGTTTGGCATGTCATGGCTCTTTATTTTTATTGTCCTCATTAACTGGTCATCAGGGGCCTTTGGTCTAGAATGTGAGGTAGAGACTGAAGAACTAGCCTCTGGCCCTCCACTCCTACTTCATTGGGGGCCTGTGAATTCTCCTTTTTAAACCACTGAGCTGATTTTCTGGCCTGTAGAATATTTTGTAAGATTTCAATAAGTTTTATTTTTCGTAAAATACAAAGTTGATATAACTAATACAAAATATATCAAAAATAGAAAAATTATAAATACCGAACCATTCATATTTTTAGTAAAAATCACAGTTGATAAAGGGTCATTGTATAGAAACTTTAGAAAATACACATAAGCATAAAAGATTATTTCACTTAACCATCTCATACTCCATTCAACTTCATCCACTGCGAGTATACAGTTCAGTGGTGTTAGAGCATTGAGTTGTGTGATCACCATGGTCAATTTTACATTTATATCACCCCAAGGGAACACTGCACTACCTCTCTGCTCACCTTCCTAGCCCCTGGCAACCACTCATGTATTTTCTGTGTCTCTGGATTTGCCTATTCGGGACATATATGTGGCCTTTTTGTTTCTGGCTTATTTCACTGACCATGATGCATCTGAAGTTCATCCATACTGTAGCTCTGACAGAACTTAATTTCTCTTTAAAAATTTTTTTAAAGATTTTTATTTTTAGAGGGGGAAGGAGACAAACATCAATGTGTGAGAAATACATTGACTGGTTTGCCTCTTGTACACCCCCAACTGGGGACCTGGCCCCCAGCCTAGACAGGTGCCCTGACTGGGAAGCAGACCAGTGACCTTTTGATTCACAGGCTGGTGCTCAATCCACTGAGTGACACCAGCCAAGGTTCAATTTCTTTTTAAGACCATGTAATAGCCCTCTGTATAGACCACATTTTATCTGTTCACCTGAGGCACATTTGAGTTGTTTTCTCTTTTTGTCTATTGTAAGTAATGCAAACAACATTCATATTCAAGTCTGTGGATATAGTGGGTTGGCCAAAAAGTCAATTTAGCTTTTTCTGTAAAATAAAAGGTACATTTTTCATTTTTACCAATAACTTGATTTGGATATTTTTAGTATCCTGGCTATCTCCTGCTATTGGTTTCTAGTGGATAGAGGCCAGGGGTGCCGTTAAACATCTTCCAATGCAAGAGAGCTCCACAGCAAAGAATTATTAGGCCAAAACAGTAGTACCAAGAACCTGAAAACCACTTTTGACATGTTCAATCAGTCACAGCACCTTCTCCATACACTGCCAAAATCTAGCATTTCGGTTGTGTTTTTACCTTGATGTAATAAAGCATAATATGCCAAAAATATGTCTTCCATCTTCAATATTAAAACTGCTGCACAAAAATTCAATTTGGGTCAGCTTTTTTAAATGCACACTGATATGACAGCTGTCACAATAACAAAATTGCTTAAAGACAACTAAACACTATTAAGGCCATCATACAGAAAAAACTAGAACTTTTTGGCCAGCCCAATATATTTTCACTTCTCAGGTGTATATAAACCTGGGAGTGGAATTGCTAGGTCACAGGGTGATTCTGTTTACCATTTGAGTGTGCGCGTGTGCACTTAAACAGTTTTGAGAGCAGTGACTGAGACAATGCTTGACATGGGTAAAGCAGTGTGTTTTCTAAAGCAAGGGTGTCAAACTCATTTTCACCGGGGGCCACATCAGCCTTGTGGTTGCCTTCAAAGGGCCAAAATAATTTTAGAACCATGTAAATGTACTCCTTAACAGTTAAGGAGTTGAAATTACTTTCGGCCCTTTGAAGGCAACCTGTGAGGCTGATGTGGCCCCTGGTGAAAATAAGTTAGACACCCCTGTTCATAAGATTCCCTTATTTCCTGTGTCTGCAGGGCTCACAGTGCTGATAATCAAACAACATTTAATTGCATGTGTTGCAGAATCCCAGTATCATTTGAATCCCCAGCCTCTCCATGTTTCTCATGTGAAAGGGAGGGCAGTGGTTGGAGAAGCAGGGCCCTGAAACCCGGAACTGGAGTGTCTGGTTGGTCTCAGTTGAAGCTGACCATCAGGAAGCCCCCAGTCTATCTGAGCATCCCCTTCTGGTGAAAGTGGTCTGCTTTCCTGTGTCTGGGGACCGGTGTTCCATTGCTGGAGGACTGCGTCATTGTCTCACTTGAGCAGGTGCCTTGCAGGGTGATACCCATTGTCCTTGAAATTCTCTGCAACCACCCCCTGCTGCCATTAGACCCAAAACTAGGGTCCAATCACAGTGTGCTCCCAGGTGTACCTGAGTGCAGAGTAGCCAAAGAGGGGAGGGTCGCGGCAGGCTCACAGTCAACTGGTGCAGGTGCTGAATGTTCCTTAATTGTTCTAGAGCTATGGACCCTGGTACCCTTGCTCCTGAGTCTTCAGAATGCCTACTTGCTGCTCTAGTCCCCCGCACCCCACCATGGAGGAGCCGCAAGCAGGGAGGGTGCCCTGCCCCCTACTTGGCCTTCATGTCCAGGTCAACAGCTACTTGGGGGGGTGGGGTGGTGACTAGGTAATCCATTTTGCCTGTTTGTTTCATCTGTAAAAGGGTGTGACGGTGCTGATGAGAGCAATAGTATCCATCTCATAGGGCTATGGACAGGATTTTGGAAGTGCTGTCAAGATGTCCCCTTTGAGACCTGCCCTGCCTTCCTGGCTGGTTTCTCCTCCCCAGCCTCTAGCTCGGCCCTCCGCCCGCCTCAACCCCTTCTGGGCCTTAATGGGGTTGTTCCAAGGCTCAGCGGCTATTTGGGCCCGTCTTTCCTCTCCCTGGACAGCCCTCCCTTCCTCTGCAGCCTTAGCTATTCACACTCCCCTCCAAACAGCCGGTGCGCTACTGGAGCTCCCTTTACCCACCATTCATCACAGCCTTGTGCCCGCCTGCGCCCAGCGGCCAGGCCCGCCCCGCTGGCCCAGAGCCGGCTGCGCTTGCCTACCCCCGCACGCCAATCAGCGTGTGGGCGTGGTTCAGACCACGTCATGTCATTTGCGTTTTGTTCCGTCACTCATTGGGACTTAGCCAATCAGCGCCGCCAGCGACACGCTGGGCAACGCCTGAGTAGCAACCACCAGCCCGCAAGAGGCTGGAACTGGGTGGGTTGCCCGCGGCCTGGCATTCCTGAGAAGAGGGTTAGGCAGCTACCCAGAACGAGCCGGACAAGGGCACTACTTCTAACTGCACGCTGATCGGCAGTGGAGGGCAGCGGTATGGCCATAGAAAAGGGGATACTACGGTGGAATAGGGTTGGGGGTAGGGTGGTGGGGTGGTGGTGTGGAGGGATAAGAGTTTAGCGAGGGGAGGGTGGTAGTGGATGGAGGTACAGGTAAGGGTGGTGGCATCCCAGGCCCTCTGGACTCCTACGAGGGAAGGAAAGTGATGCAGAGACCCAGAGCTCCAAAGCAAGTGGGGTCTGGCAACTGAGTTCTCCAGCCAAAGCATGCCTACCCACAGACACACCGGCCCAGTTATGGCCTTACTTGCCACAAGAAAGTAAGAGAATACCTTCTATGCCCCAACTGTGATACTGTGCCCTGCTGGGCCATGCTTGGGATCAGAAAATCGGTGATCTGAAACTCAGGAATCCTGAAACGATCCCACGTGTGATTCCCTATTTGGTGAGGAAGACAAACAGCAGTATAGAACACTCAGTAGGAACACAGGAGCGCACCAGGGTGGGTAGAGACAGAGATGAAAAAAAGTCCCTGCCATTAGTGTATGCCAGTGCCCCTGGAGCACGCTGTGATTGGACCCTAGTTTTGGGTCTAATGGCAGCAGGGGGTGGTTGCAGAGGATTTCAAGGACAACGGATATTGCCTTGCAAGGCACCTGCTCAAGTGAGACAATGACGCAGTCCTCCAGCAATGGAACACCGGTCCCCAGACACAGGAAAGCAGACCACTTTCACCAGAAGGGGATGCTCAGATAGACTGGGGGCTTCCTGATGGTCAGCTTCAACTGAGACCAACCAGACACTCCAGTTCCGGGTTTCAGGGCCCTGCTTCTCCAACCACTGCCCTCCCTTTCACATGAGAAACATGGAGAGGCTGGGGATTCAAATGACATTGGGATTCTGTAACACACACAATTAAACGTTGTGTGTGATTTTCAGCACTGTGAGCCCTGCAGATGCAGGAAGTAAGGGAATCTTTAGGGCTGTCATTGAAGTTCTGTGCTTGCCAACACTGTGACTTAAGCAGAGAGGAAAGGAACCAGAGCTTGAAAACAAGGGGCTGATTACTTAGGTTAGAGGGCTGAAAAGCAAAAAGGGATACTGAACTAACAGACAATACAGTAAGAAGCTGTTGCCCCTAAGCTAGGGAAAGGAGGAAGGGGCTGGTGTCATTGGAAGCCTAGAAGCCAGGATGAGGGGCGTTTGAAGTGCCAGAGCTTGGATCTTTGAGGAGGAGCCGCTGCAGTTTTTCAGGAGAGAAAGCAACATCATCAGCTAAGAAGGGGAACAAAGCAGGAGCTAATTTCCAAAGCAGCACCTTCAGGTAACTCATTCTTTGATGACAGTTCTTTGTGACTTAATCCATCCATTAAGATTTATGTTTCAATGATTATGGTTTTTTTTTTAAATTTCTAATGTTTTTTTTCAAGTCTGCCTGGGCTTTTAAAATTGTTTTTATCTTTT